ACCATTTGCGCATAGGCAAGTATATACTAAAAATAGTCCATAGGAAAAACAATTTAGCCTTCGGCCCTGGGTTTATAGGTTTAAATTTGTAGATATTGGGACATTTAATTTTGTCGGTAATTGATGGCTAGTTTTGTCGGTAATCGTTGGCCTCTACACCCCCCCCCCCCCCCCCCCCCCCCCCCCCCCCACTGAAAAAGGTCTAGCGACGCCCCTGGTCCGAGGGCGGAGCCCCCGTAAGCTCTGGGGTTTTCGGCATTTAATTACGGTCAGATGAGCATATTTTGATACCTCATTTGTGACATTGGCAGGTCACTTATTTTTTTCTCTCTCTCTTTCTTTCTTTTTCTCTGAAACAAACTTTTTCAAAAAGTGAGGGGGGCTCAAGCCCCCGAGCCCGGCCGTTCTGCAGACCCTGACATAAAGGCTTCTAAATAAGCATATTTTTCGCCCTACTGTAAATTTGGGAATTTCTAATTTTCCACCAACAACGCATAAAAAGGTATGACTTACACAAAAATTCAGAAAAATACCGGAAAATCATGTCATTTCAGCAACATTTGTGAATCACTGGTATCGAATAAAAATACCCCCCCCCCCCAATTAGTACGCCAGCGTTCAGGGTCTCATGAGCTCCTCACCCCTATAACAAAAAACAGACACGCTTTCCCATTCTCTCACAATATGTCCACGATATGCGCGTATCGCTATTATAAAAACCTCCAATGAGATAGCAATGTTTAGGAATTTTAATTCCTGTCAACTTTCCTTTTCTTTGAATGAAATTTTATACGTCATTTATTAAAGTCAGGTTTTTATTATTGTTATGTTCTTTTGGGTCAAAAATTCAAACCATCTTTACTCCTTTACTGCTTTTTTTTTTGAGGGGGGGGCGCATTGGGGGGCAAAAATGCGTTTTGCCCCCCCCCCCCCACTTTTTTGGTTGGGGGGCAACTGCCCCCCCCCCCCCCCCCCCCCCCCCCCCCCCACTTCCGGCGTCTATGGATGGGGGCTTGGGGGCAGTTGTCCCCTAATAAAATTCAAATGTGGTTTATTTCTTAATTCGATAGTAGTGATTTACAAATGTTGCTGAAATGGCATGGTTTTTCCTAAAATCCCTGAGCTTGGGGGTTCCGCCCCCTTGCCCCCTCCCCCCCCCCCCAGAAAAAAGAGGTTAAAGCTCATTACGCCACTGCTCCCCAGTCCCTCGTATTTCGTCCCCTTGGTCACGAAAAGAAATCGCTGCCCCTGCTCACAAGAGAATATAATGTACTTGACATGATTTGTTCAAATATTTTTGACTTTTATACAACTATTAAACTCTTCCTCCAGTTGGTATAGAAGCAATCATACTTTATTGTACTATTTTGCACCCAGTTATCATTTTTGTAAACGAACTCGTAAAACAGATGCATAGGATTGTCCGGTCATTGAACGACAGTTGGACCATAATGTACTGATTCAATAATCGATTTTTAGGCATAGAAGACACATGGGATAATAAATTTGATAGCAAGTATTTTGTTTGAATATCGCAAACAAAATCAAATTGATTTTTGTGTATCAAAATTAATCATGCCAGTTTTACCCATGGTACACGCCTCGCCTCGCGATGTTAATGATTCATGTGAACAGATTTCTGTACCCAGAGGCGGCGCGCCCGGGGGGGGGGGGGGGGCAGGGGGCACAGTGCCCTCCCACTTTTTCGAGTACCCCAAAAGTGCCCCTTTTTACATAGGAAAAGTGCCCCTTTAACTTTGTAAGAAGCACCCCTTTTTACATAAAAAGTGCCCCTATTACTTTGCTAAGTGCCCCTCTTCATTTTTAAAAGTGCCTCTTCCCCTTTTCACCTCTGATATGTGCCCCTTTAATTTTGACACGTACCTTTTTTCCCTGACAAGTTCCCAGTTTCCTTTGCAGTAAGTGTCCATTTTCCATTCTCATAAGTGCCCTTTTTATTCTCTAGTAAGTGCCCCTTTTCGGGTACGAGAAGCGCCCCTTTTCACTTTTGTTAAGCGCCCCCTTCACCTCTGATAATTGCCCTATTAAAATCTTAGAGGTGCCCCTTTTACCTTGACAAGTACCCATTTTCCTTTGTAAGAAATGCCCTTTCCCCTTTTAATAACTACACCTTTTTAATTCGTATAAGCGCACCTTATATTTTCACATGTGCCCCTTTCCTTTCTAATATTAGGTGCCCCTTTTCCTTATGAAAAGTTCCCCCACTTAAAAAAGAGCCCTTCCCCTTCTCATAAATGCCCCCTTTGACCTATGAAAATAGTCCCTTTTCTTTTTCATATGGTGCCCCTTTTTAAGTATGATATATACTTTTGTTTTGACAAATTAATGCCCCTTTTCCTCCAGATAAGTGCTCTTTTCATTTCTAATAACAGCTCCATTTAATTTGACACGTGCCCCTTTTCTTCCTAATAAATGCTCTTTTCCCTTCTTATAAGTGCCTCTTCCCCTTTTCATAAAAGCCCCCTTTCACCTCCAATAAATGCCCCTTTTAAAATCTGATCGGTTCCCCTTTTCTTTCAACAAATGCACATTTCCCTTTATTATTATTAGTGCCCCTTTTTCATTCTCATAACTGCCTCTTTTCATATATGATCAGTGCCCCTTTTCAGATGCGACAAGTGCCCCTTTTTTTTACCTCTGATAATAACCCTTTTAACAATGATATGTGCCCTTTTCCTTTCTTATAAGGAACCTATCCATTTTTTCATAAATGCACCGTATTAAAATCTGATGGTTGCCTCTTTTCCATCGACAAATGCCTATTTTCCATTCTCATAAGTGCCTTTTTCATTTCTGATGAGAGCCCCATTTTCACCTCTGATAATTACCCTTTGTACCTTGACACGTGCTCCTTTTCTTTTCTAATAAGTGTATTATCCCTTCGATAAGTGTCATCTTTTCCTCTCATCAATAACGTGCAATATCCCCCAAAGCTCGCTCGCTATGCTCGCTCGCATTTATAGATGTTATAATTATGTTACTTATCAAATGTCTTTTCAGTCTGTTGTTGAAAATGTGCTTATAACCCCATGAGGATTGGTTTTTTCCTCTTATAAGATGTAATTTTTCGCACTGCGACCTCAAAAATCTTAATTTGTTTTCCTCGCTCGCAAATGATTTTTCCGACTATCACACCCAACTTGCAAGGTATGATGCTTAAGCAATATTTTATACGATGTATAAAGAGAAACAAATATTAAAATCATCCCTGATAATGTAATCAAATTAAAGGAGTATATACCAATGTCTAAAAATGTTTATCTCTATGGTACACCATACAAACACCATAGCAAATCTACCATAGATTACCATACAAACACCATAGCAAATCTACCATAGATCTACCATTCATTTACCATAGAACTAATTAAAATAATTGGGACAAATTTATTCATTTATTCAAATTAGGCCACACCTACATATTCTACCATAGAGCCACCATTCATATACCATAGAGCCACCATAGAGTCATCATTCATCTACCATAGAGCCATCATTCATCTACCATAGAGCCACCATTCATCTACCATAGAACCACCATTCATCTACCACAGAGCCACCATTCATCTACCATAGAGCCACCATTCATCTACCATGGAGCCACCATTCATCTACCATAGAGCCACCATTCATCTACCATAGAGCCACCATTCATCTACCATAGAGCCACCATTCATCTACCATAGAGTCACCACTCATCTACCATAGAGCCACCATTCATCTACCATAGAGTCACCACTCATCTACCATAGAGCCACCATTCATCTACCATAGAGCCACCATTCATCTACCATAGAGCCACCACTCATCTACCATAGAGCCACCATTCATCTACCATAGAGCCACCATTCATCTACCATAGAGTCACCATTCATCTACCATAGAGCCACCATTTATCTACCATAGAGCCACCATTCATCTACCATAGAGCCACCATTCATCTACCATAGAGCCACCATTCATCTACCATAGAGCCACCATTCATCTACCATAGAGCCACCATTCATCTACCATTTACTACCAATCAAAATATGCAACAAAATGTTACGCTTAATTGTAGCATTTTGAAATGGTATATTCAGAATGGTAGTTTGGATCTTGATCTATGGTTAGCAGAATGGTGGCTGTAGTGCGTTCTATAGTACACAGAATGGTGACTATAATATATTGAATTTTTTAGAAATCTAAACTTAAATGTTAACTTACAATACACACATGATGCTTATTAAAAAAATGAATTGAATGAAAGTGGCAGGATGTATTTGGTTTATATCAAAAGTTGTATGCATGTACATATGCTAAAAACTAAAATAAAAGGCAAGTAAAAAATATATCACATAAACATGTACACTACAAACTAAAATGAAAGGCAAGTTCGTAATTGCAACACATATTACTTGGACTTATTCTACTAAGATGTAATAAATACCCACATAATATATATCACCCTAGTTCCTCTAAATAATCGGCAAGTTAAAAAGAAACAACTAAAATGTCATATGTGTGTACGTAAACATGACTAAAATGAAAGGCAAGATAAAAATATATAAACATGTACAATAAAAACTAAGGCACTGAGTTGCAGCACAGGATTGTTCTAAAACATTGTATAAACATGTACAATAAAAACTCAAATGAAAGGCAAGTTCATAATTGCAACACATATTACTTGGACTTATTCTACTAAGGTGTAATAAATACCCACATATATATCACCCTAGTTCCTCTAAATATCTAAAATGTCATATATAGTGTGTATGTAAACATGACTAAAATGAAAGGCAAGTTAAAAATATATAAACACGTACAATAAAAACTAAGGCACTGAGTTGCAGCACAGAAATGTTCTAAAACATTGTATAAACATGTACAATGAAGTTCAAGTCAAAGAGGTTGTATGTGAGTTCGAAGAGGAGCAGAAAAGACAAGCCTTGCTGCTCATTTTTGGAGTCTCTGAAGGCGATGAAGGTCCCTCTTCTATACTCAAACTGTTTACATGATTTTGATAGACCCTCTGTGTAAAACAATCTCCCCTGTATCGATCGGTATCACTACCCCCACCCCATGATTCGATGTGTAACCTCGTCTATGCCATGTTCCATCGTAGGGCACTGCCACGTCCACATGATCATTTTCCCTGATGGTCAGATCCTTGTCCATGGCCCTTTGACGTAGGCATGCTGCCACCTTCTTCTTCTGATCCTTACTGGTCTGCAGAAAAAAAAAGAGTTTGTAATAAATAACAGGTAAATTTCAAGTTCCCTCAGGCCCCTTACTTATTAGACCCTATTACAAATATTTAGATTTGATTAATTTTCATCCCTTGATTTGACAAGAAGGGATATTGATGTACATGTATTATACTGTCTATCGACCATAACTAAGAAATAAAATATGTTTGGATTAAATGTACGTACAGCTAAGATAATGTAATGAAGAAAACACAAGGCTGGTGACTAACCTCTTGGGATAAGGAAGATAAAGTGGCTATGTGCCTGTTGTAGCTAGGGGCTTCGACTAGTGGGGCTGTTCAGAAGATGGTCAGCAAGTTGCACAAGCTATCCCGTGCCAAACCAACCTCCGTTGCTGCCAGAGTAGCTCTGCGGTTTATTTCTGCAGACTTTCCACGTCCTTCGCATTCATTTTCTGATGAAGAGAATGTCCTTCTCCTTCTGGCAAATGAAGCAACCAAGGACCATGGCGCAGTTCAACCCATTCCTCTTTGACAAATTATCCAGAGGAATGAGATGCCCTGTAAAAGATATCCAAAACACTTTATGGAACAGGGAAAATATTTTGAAAAGCACAATCCCCAAATAATAACAAAGTGCTAGTTATGACATACATGTAGTATATTACACAAATACACATTTTCACAGATTTCACGACAATTCCGATGCCCCCACTTCGATTCACCATAGAGTAAAGGAGGGGTTTTTCGGCCACTTAAGACAAAATCCTATTTTTTGGACTCTTTACTTTCTATTTATTATCATTTCTTGTTCAAATCATCAAGCAAATACTATTATTATTTAAACAAAGAAAGAATCCCAGAAAAAAAATCATGAATTGCCATGACAACATTCATTTCCATTTTCACTGTTTTGGAGGTAGTTTTCGGCCTAGCGAGGCAGTTTTCGGCCGCATGTACAAAGTCAATAGGAAGCAAGCAAGCGCGCCATGCGTTTCCCCACTGATCTATAGCACTAGCGGCCGGAGCAGGTATCCCAAGCCGGAGCTTCCCGTGCCGAAAACTACCTCTGCGGTGATCAGAAATTGGAATCTGAATTGGACAGAGATATCGTGTGTGCGCTGCGGTATCCGGCTGCATTGATTAAATACATGCGAAGAGATACTTTTGAGCTTGCGACTGACACAAAATCGTACTCTAAATCTGAAAAATACTTGAAATAAAGCTCATTTCATGGTACCCATATTTCTTACACGCGTAAGATACTTAATTTTTCAGATTCGGGGAGTGGGACCGCCGATTACATCGCTAAAATGTGATATTTTAGGATATATTTTCCATTGCAAATGTGGTTCTTCAGTGACTCTGGCATGGTATGGTATGTGTGGGATATATGATATGCTGTTATGCGATGGATTTTAAAGGGATTTTACCATGCATCCAACGGATCGGCCGAAAATTGGTGATGGTCGATTACCCCCTCCTTTACTCTATTCTTAATCATTTGATTTGGCTTTTTGAGCCATTCACCCCTTGAGCATGCAATACAATCTCAAAGTAACAGTTTGCAAACTAAAAATATTGTTTGATATTAAGTACATACCTCCCAGACACACGTGAGCCTTTTGCAAAGCAGCTGCAAGTTGTGGGCCACTAATGACGCGGATCTTCACATGTGGGACCAGGGCCAAAAATAGGGCTGTCCAAACACTTATTCAGGGAAAGCTTCCTCGATCTCTGAATTAGCTGTTAGTTCTTCTGGCACCTCTCCAGCATTCATGTTACTCTTCTGTAATATCTGGTATTGATCTCCTTTGAACACCTTCCTCTTCCTCACATGTTTTGTAGTTTTGCGAAGCATTTTCAGTGAGTAGAAATTGGAGACCAACGGCTAGAAGAGTTATTCAAATCTTGGACACAAGGTGGCAGCAAACAGCCCTTGTTATCTACTTTCTGCTGATATACATTACTTGTTACAATTTGGTTTAGAATTTTTTATTTAATGATTTCTTTAATTGATTGAGACTAATTGAGTGCAAACAGAGGCAGTGGAGCGACTTCCAAAGTGGGGGGGGGGGGCCCGGGGGGGGCACCAACAAAAAGGGCACTTTCTGGAGAAAATAAATAGGGCACCTACAAAGGGAAATCTCAAAGCGAAAATATATATTTAAAAAAAAAACATTTGTAGGCCTATATATCCCCTATATTGTGATTACATTATCAGGGATGATTTCAATATTTTCTTTATCTTTATAAATAAGATTTGTGAGCTAGTCGCAGTGCGAAAAATTACATCAATTATAAAGAAGAAAAACCCAATCCTGATGGGTTTATTACACTATCATAACAGAAGACTGAAAAGACCTTTGATAAGTACCATAATTATAACATCTAGAAATGCGAGTGTGCTTTGGGTGATATTGCTCTTAGTAGCTGGAAATTAGGGGCACGTGATGAGAGGAAAAGGGACACTTATCGAAAAGGGTGACACTTATTAGAAAAAAAGGAGCACATGTCAAATTACAACGGGTAATTATCAGAAGGTGAAAATGGGGCACGTATCATTGTTAAAGGGTAATTATCTGAGGTGAAAAGAAAAGGGGCACTTATGATCAGTTTTTTAATAGGGGCATTTAATACGAGGGGAAGGGGGGATTTAAGAGAAGGGGGAAGTGCAGGCTATTATTAAAAAGAAAAGAGGCACATGTCAAGATAAACGGGGCACTTATGAGAGATGAAAGGGGGGTAATTATGGGAAGGGGATGGGGCACTTAAAAGAAGGAAAAAGAGCATTTATTAGGAAGGGAAGGGGCATTTATGATAAAGGGAAGGGGCTCTCTTTTAAATGGGGCAAAATAAAAGGGGCAGTTATTGAAGATGAAAAGAGCACTTATCAGGAGGAAAAGGGACACTTGTCAAAATAAAACGAGTACCTCTCAGAATTGAATAGGGTCATTTACTAGAGATGGAACGGGACTATGAGAATGAAGAGGGACTTAAGAATGAAAAGTAAATGTTTTCATAGATGAAAAGGGGCATTTATGATAAAGGGAAGGGGCTCTCTTTTAAATGGGGGCACTTGTTAGAAAGGAAAGGGGGCACATGTGAAAATATAAGGTGCGCTTATCCGAGTTAAACAAGGGGTAGTTATTAAAAGGGGAAAGTCCCCTCTCAGATTTGAATAGGGAAATTATCAGAGGTGAATGGGGCACTTATCAAAAGTGAAAAGGGGCACTTCTCGTATCTGAAATGGGGCACTTACTAGAGATGGAAAAAGGGCACTTATGAGAATGGAAAATGGACACTTATTACTAAGGAAAACCGGAACTTACCGAAGGAAAAGGGGCACTTTAAAAAAAATAATAGGGGCACTTTTTAAAGTAAAGGGGCCCTTTTTATGTAAAAAGTGCCACACTAGAGCCACCATGGAGTCACTAACCACTAGAAATATATCATAAAGTCATCATCCACCATAGAGCTACTGCTAAAATATCTTACACCACAGGGATATACCATTCAACGGAAATACCATATAATATACTCTACCATATATCATACCGTAGAAATACCATACACCATACCCCGGCCCCCCCCCCCCACTCAGTGTTATTTAGGGTACGCATATGCTCGTTCCCTCTTTTTGAAAGCACCCCCTATCTGAGGACTGCCAACATTTTCGAACCCCCTTTCGCGGGCTTTTCGCGGGCTTTTCCTGCCTTGGAGACCCCCCTAAATCAGGAAAAATGCTCAATGTACCCCCCTAAATTCGGAATAATTTCTCAGGAGTCCAAAGAGATGAGAGAAAAAAAGAAAAAACACCCCCTTTTTAAAGAAATCTCTGGGTGAAAAGTCAAATACACCCCTTTTTTTTTACAATTCTCGGGCCGGACTTTGTCGCACGAAAAGTACCCCTTTACCGGACATTTTGGCAACACGCATGCGGTCATTCCGACCCCTGAGTGGGGGGGCCGGGCACCACACAGCCCCCATAGAGCTACCATATATCTACCATTCACTTTAGAGCCACCATAGAGTCACTAATAACCACCATTAATATACCATAAAGTCATCATCCACCATAGAGCTACCACTGAAATATCCTCCACCATAGGGATACCATTCAACAGAAATACCATAGAAATATATTCTACCATATAACATACCGTAGAAATACCATACACCATACAGCCACCATAGAGCTACCATAGATCTACCATTCACTTAAGAGCCACCATAGAGTCACATAACCACCATAGATATACCATAAAGTCATCATCCACCATAGAGCTACCACTGAAATATCCTCCACCATAGGGATACCATTCAACAGAAATACCATAGAAATATATTCTACCATATAACATACCGTAGAAATACCATACACCATACAGCCACCATAGAGCTACCATAGATCTACCATTCACTTTAGAGCTACCATAGAGTCACATAACCACCATAGATATACCATAAAGTCATCATCCACCATAGAGCTACCACTGAAATATCCTCCACCATAGGGATACCATTCAACAGAAATACCATAGAAATATAGTCTACCATATACCATACACCATAGGACGGCATCAATGATATACCATTGACCATAGAACTCCACCATTCAGCAATTGTGTGGTATACCATAGAAATATATTCTACCATATAATATATCATAGAAATACCATTCACCATAGAGCCGTACCATAGGAATATCATAGATTTTTTTTGTAAGGGAGCTGAGCCTTTCTCTTTGTAGGTGCCCTTTTTGTTGGTGCCCCCCCCCCCCCCCCCCCCCCCCTTTGGAAGTCGATCCGCCGTCTAGTCTGTACCTTATTTCAAACATGTTGACGACCTTTCGTTGGTGTATATATGCTGTAAAACAACAGACTCTTCGCAATACAATCAATACTGATTCTCTTGAATGTTGGTCGCATTTGAATAATATTTCACTCAATCCTTTAAAGTATTTTACCCTGCAGGTTACTATAAGGAAAAATCCTCCACAGCCTGATAATCTTTTCCTTAATAACTTTATGGTTGTAATGTACAAATACTATTTCTTGGAGTCATTGTACAATCAGATTCAAAATGAAATTGTTGACCGTATACGGTACCGTATTATAGTGAAAGTGTGCATGCATGCACTAGAAAAGTTAATATGTTGAGGAAACTCAAGAAATTCGAATCCCTCCTCACAACAAAAAACAAAAGGTAATTAAATGACATCAACCACTATGCACTGCAACCCTGGAAGAAACATTGATTTAGCTTCAAATAACCAATATACTAAAGCAAATCTCTTTGCCATAGTCATTAAATCTTCCTGCAGTTTATGCATTGCGCGCATGCGGACCAAAATATCAAGCTAGGCGGACCAAATTCACTGTTACACATTTACCGTTTTCCGTATGCGCTGCGTATAGATTACGTTTGGGATCCGACTGTACGATGAGCTGAGCTGAGCCGGCTTTAGCCCTTTTTAGCAGACCGATGAAGGTGAAATACTCTAAATTGTCTAAGATATAATACAATGAATGTGATTTAAATACTTATATAGGCCTATTTGTGAACAAATATAATAACGTTAATGGGTATTCTTGCAATCTTGTGAAATAATCCACTGCTCATTCACTTCGTAGCGAGTAGCGGTTCATAACCCCGGTTCATGACATAATTGTGTGACTGTCTGTGTATAAAACTGTAATGCCTATGTCTGTGGGATTTCACCTTCCCACAGCTCACACCACTTTACACGCAAGTTAAGTGCGTGCAAAGCTAAGCTAAGACACTCGAACAAATACCTGGCTTATTTCACAAGGAGGCCAGGTATAGCCTTATCTGTGACAAACAGAAAAAGATATAGGTCTAGAGTCTAGTTTTCCTTTGTGAAACATGGCCTGCTCATGCAGACCAAACATAGGAGCATCACTATCCTGGCTGTGTAGTAAAGCTGTGCTTTTGATTCTCAACATTTCAAACACCACTGTAGCTGTACAAAACTCAACTGATTTCACTAAAAATCAGTACTTTAGTGACAGTTGATGACGCCTAAATAGCAGTAAAATACATTTTTCAACTTACTGATGTTAGAGATAAAGACTGGTCATGCGATTGCATTGTGAAAGAAACGTTGTGGAATCGATCAGATAAGGTTGATCAGCATTAGTGTGTAGATCTACTGAAAGGTTCTGGAATCATCAAAATGATAAGAAATTTGGCCCAGTCTTCGAAAAGTTACAAGCACTGTACACAGAAAGATGTATATGGGACTACGCACACGTGGCACAACACGTGCGTTTATCTCTCACAAAAAGTCACATACCAATAGATAAACTAATTTACCAAATATAACAATTAGTAGGCGGTTTCCCGGCAAATTTGTTATCATCATGTATTAGTCAAAACATATTCTTACACATGATTGGTAATAAGAGCTTCCATTTCATGTTTTGAAATTGGGGCGTTTCCAATACTGGTCTTTACCTTTAAAAAGAATAATTTAAAAATTCAAATTGTAAGTCTAGTGTCAAATTTGCCGATCAGCCCAACCGGTCCTATTGTGTGTAGTCTATGCAATATTGTGTGGTGTGTATATTGTGTATACCGGTAAGTCTAATAATACCTGCCTCACAGCAAGTATGCAGTGTTAGAGGTCAATATATATCCCTTACAAAAATGTACCATGGTAACCATGGTACTTTTGTCCAAATTACCATCCACCATGGTTATCATGGTACCAAAACAATGAAATACACTGTTTAATGACCCAATGTTTTCCATTGTTTTGGTACCATGATAACCATGGTTACCATGGTGAATGGTAATTTGGACAAAAGTACCATGGTTACCATGGTACATTGACTCTCTATGCTTTGCTGGAGTGGCTCAGACCCCCTGTTCTTTTTCAATGTGCACATTACTGCACATAGAAATTCAAGCAATACTGAGCGCTGTTCAGTGAGTTTATGTGCTCCCATTGGCTGATCCGCTCAAGCGGCTTCGAATTGAAGTAGAGAGCACAATGGTCCCGCCAATGCAAAAGATTAAACAACGCGCTGACATGTCGTGCTATATTCAGGTGGCGCACTTCACACATAACTGGCGCTTACTAGACACGCATTGACAAGGCGATGATGAGCATGCGCGAGATGTAAGCCAAAGTTCTACGTTACATGTACTGACACTGAATCTTGGAAGATCTTGACGACTGGAGCTACCGTATTCACCATGATCACTGTGCAGGCCTTAAATTTCGTCATTTTTAGGGCAAGGCCAGTTTGGCCTCGAGTACCTCATATTTTTAAGGGCACCAAGGCCAAAATATTTTTACAAAAAGGGCATCGAGGCCAAAATATTTTACAAAAAGGGCATCGAGTATGAGGCCAAAAAAATTGATTCTATTTTTGTTAGATGTCATGTGTATTTTATGAAACTTGTGCAGGATCAATTTCCCATGACTTTTAGCACCAGCTTCTTCACAGAATGTATAGAGGTCTACGGTACATACAAACAAGCAGGCGCGTAGCCACGGGGGGGGGGGGGGGGGGGGGGGGGGGGGGGGGGGGGCACGTGCCCCCCTAAAATTTCCAGGATCGGTTGAAATTTTGTAAACCCCTTTTTTTGACCTCGATCGATTACATGTATGTGCCCCCCAAACACCAAACTCTGGCTACGCGCCTGCAAACAAGGCGGCGGCCCGCAAGCCTTAGATTTAGCAGCCAGGAGCAAGGGGCAATTTTTTTTTAAGTTGCCCTTTGCCACGGGAATTTACCAGAGCAAGGGGCAATTTTCCAAAAACATATAGGCCGCTTATCTAATCATAAGTTCAAAGAGAGTCTACAAATGTTAATTTCATAATGTGAATAGATCGAACGATCAATTTAATAACTTTTTAATCTAAACAATATGAACAGGAAAGATTGATTAAGAACATCAAACTTGCACACTAAACAGTATTTTAAAGTAACTAAAAATATTGATGAGCAAATGAATAAATAAATTGTCAATTTCACAAACATCGAAAGTCAGAAGGACTTAATTGGCAAGTTTACCGGGCCGGGTATTCCAAATCAAAATCGCACCTCACACACAAACCTTCCGCCACTCTCTCGGTAGTAGGTCTAGGAGCAAATTTGAAGAAATTATCTTTTTAACTGTTGTATAGAAAGGTCTACATAGGCCTAACTAATGAAATAAGATGTAAAAATGTCCTTATAGACATTCGACAGCTGAAAGTGACACTGACACGCTCAGCTCAGTTGCGTAACGTGCATTCACGAAACCAAAATCGTTCCTCGCACACACACTCTCGCCACTTTTGGTGGGAAGCTGTCGGGCTGGAAGTTTGCCAGCGAAACCGATGCACCCTCGGAATTTTACCGGGACTCGAAACGTTCGTCTTGGGAAGCTGGCGGGGTAGCTTTTTGAAGCGAGGTCGGCTGGTGGCAAAATGAGAGTAACTACGATCGAGAACATCGTAGGTGTTCTTAACTTATTAATAAGATAATTCTAAATTCTATTTGAGATAAAATAATAAACTAGGCCTACAAACAAACCTCGACAGATCTCTAATGACTATTTGAATGCTTGTTTATTTCTCCATTTGACGATTTGTTTTCTTGATCCTGGCCTTCGATTTGTACGTACGTGCGTGCGTCAACAGCATACACCATATGCATATCATGCGATCGCATAATATGAACGTACGTACGTACGTGCGCTAGCGCATTGCCTATATAATAACAAAGGGCGCATTTTCACGGCACTTTCGCCTTATTAAAGCACTAAATACGAAGCTAGAAGAGAGCTCGTGGGCGGCAAACTGTTCGTGATTCGTGTATTTTACTGTTCTAATAATTTATGGGCGCATTTACACGGAAAACACTTGCGCCTTGCCGTCTAGTTTTAGATGATTATGGGCGCAATTGGTGGTTTTATGTGCGCAAATTTAAAATAAAAAGGGCACGTCCAGTTGGAAAAAAAGGCACGTCGGCCAGTTTGAAAAAAAGGGCACGGCCTTTTTGGCCGTGAATATATCTTTTTTTGGGAGGGCACCGCGGCCAGTCATAGGGGCATCGACGGCCTGGCCGTCGATGGCCGTCGATTAATTTAAGGCCTGACTGTGGCACTAATGGCTGCTCTTTAGCAAGACATTAATCTAGATGTGCTACTCTCCACCCAGGTGTGGTACTCGGTAGGATGCGAACGTTAATGTGGTTGGATTTGCATATGTACACACTGTACGCACCTGTAAAATGGCGCCTGGCAGGAAAACTCCCCAGGGAGCAGAGTGTGTGCACTATTATGTGTGGATTAGCAATTGAATCCAATGCCCAGGGAGCAGAGTGTGTGCACTATTATGTGTGGATTAGCAATTGAATCCAATGCCCAGGGTGATCATGTAAAGCGCTACCGTAAGTTAGAAATGTAGTATTAAGCATTTTACAATTGTGAGTTTGTGACCATATTAATGTAATTTGATATTTTGTAGTTTTCTACACTTACATCTGTACATCGTAGATATCATGGCATTTGTGATAAACATATTAAGTGAATATTTTATATTTCTCTTGTCCTCTTACTTCTACTTCCATCTTTCACTTGTTCTTATAGTTGATACTTTGATGCATTAATTTTGATTTTTTTTTTTTGGCAGGTGCAGTTACCAAACAAAGAGGACACAAAGGATATGCTGATACGTTCTGAAAGGGTTCGACCCTTCAATGAACTGAGACTTTTGGACCATGGATGGAACAGAATCACCCGGGCCTCTGCCTGCCAGAGGAGAAGCAGAAGGTGCTCAAAGTACAGATGAATCAACACAGAAGACTAGTATGCAAAAACAATTATGGGATGAGGAAGAGACTGAAGGAGATCAGAAAGGAGATGGAGAAGGGAGACTTGAATGTGATCCTCTTGCAGAAGCAGCAATGAATATTCTAAGAACTCAGAAGCAACAGAAAGACCCTGATGAAGAAGAAGATGACGCCTTTCTGGATTATGGAGATAGTGATAGTATAGGTAGTGGAAAACATGTTGAACATATAGATTGTGCTGTTGGATGTGAGCAAAAGCTTGCTGATGTCTCAAAACAATTAGATGACCTTCACATAGACATTCCTGAACCCATGGTAAAGCTCAAACGCAGATCATCTTCTATTGCAGAACTTTCAGATGTGGAAGCGACGGGATCTGTGGAACGCTTTTCACCTCGAGAGGACCCTGTGGGGTCAGCGATGGGCTCCTTGCCCCTTCATGGTACGCTGTCCAGGGAAGGGGAAATGGTATCGTATGTTGCTGATGATCTCCTAGAGAAAATCCGTCAGAGTGTGGGTTCCTCCCGGTCCACCTCAGGGGCAACATCTCCTGCTTACCCCACCACCAGTCAGATGATGCCATGGGGTAGGTAAACCACCCCCCTTGGGAGTCTTGGCAGGATGTGACAAAACCTTACCTCTTTTTATCTGGGAAAGTAATTGGGAAAATTTCCAAAGCAAACTAGAGCATTGGAGCACAAAGTAAAATAGAATAGTCAGTAGTGCATGCACGCTGCGCACCAACAAAATATTTTGTTTCATTTTTACATCAAATTGTTTTAAAATAACATACAATTTTAACACAGACCCCTCCTTACTTCACCCTATTTTTCAAACTCTCTTCTCTTTGTAGTTAAACAGTATACATGAATTAATCTTAAGTTTCTTTAAGACTGACTCAGTTTTAAGTGAAATTATATAGAAAAGATTACAGAGAGTCCTTTTCAGGACTCCTCAATCTTCCCTCTCTCTCTCTCACATGGTACAACTGCAAGCCTACTGTATATATATTTTCAATTAAAGAAAGTATAATATTTTTAAACTTCATTTGGGAAAATGTTTCACTTCCCCCTTTTTTCGGTTGACAAGTTTGTTATGATTTTGTTTCATTTATTGTTGTTTTCAAATATTAAGTATTACCTTCCATTTGATGCCAATAGCGATTAATATTGGAAACAAACTTTAAGGTTTGCTTTTTTTTATATTTAAATGAACAAGGATTTGTCACATTCTGGTGTGGGTTTACCTTGTGGTGAAATGTCCATGCAAAAAAGAGCTATAAAATATAAAAATATTCTCTTGCGCATTTTAATTTTCTTATTTGTTTTATTAAAACACTTACATTTTGTTGATCCATAAAAAGGCAGCTTGGTTTAATAGCATGCCACAAGTTCGTTAATTTTTTTGTTTCATTTAGTTTTGTAGCTTGATTCATTTCACTTCCAAAATTCAGATTTCACATCACTTTAATATCAAGCTGTTCCTATTTCATTAGAATCTGAATACAAAGTCTAGCTTGAAGATGATGAGAATGATGAAACCACTGGACATTTGACCACTGAGTTGGATACTGGCATGTGGGGTTAAGCATGAAACCCTAGGGTGACATGGGAACCAATTGCATGGGAAATGCTTACTCTATTAAACAGGAGGTGAATTTTCATTCTCTTCTCTGCTGTAAAGCAGAATTGTTGTTTTGCCATTTGTGCATCTGTTTGCAAATGAAATGCTGCATTATTTGCATACATTTTGTTTTCATTGATCATCTCAAGGGTAAAAATGTTTCTCATTGTGTACATATTCATGTTACCAAGTACAATGTATTTTACCATTTTGTACCAAAGGAAATGAGGCCTACATGTATATGCTCATGAACATGTAATTTACATACATGTACAGTGTATGAACCATGAAGTACTGGTACATTATTTAACAACTGAATACAAGTTCATTGTGTACTTATTGCATTTCCATATTATACATGCACACTATGCATAATTGCTTATTAATGATAAGTTTACTAACTTGCATGAGCTCAGATTCAAACTCACAATGATTTGGTTTAACTTGTTTGCTTTTCTTTATCTAATGACCAAGACTGAAAATTTCATTTGTTTTCTTCACATCTTTTAATCAAATTAATTCACAAAAATGCATTGAAAGAGATGTGTCCTCAATGTAAAATATATATTGTACATCTAATGCACAGTGTGTAGGCTATGTACTGAGAAGACTTATTAATATCTGTTTGCTTGATTTAGTGTTTTGGATGGACTTGGGATGGTTATCTTGATGACCCACTTAATTACTCTGAAATCTGGATTAGGTTTCAGGTCATTTCCTGATATTTTATCTAATACCCGTTTTGAATGTACAAAGTAGACTGGAATGAAATCAAGTTTATTGAGAATGTTGCTTATTTACCCCAGAAAATTCAGTTTCATTTTCTCATTATGTACTACAAAGATGTCAAAAATATTCATTCTTGTAATATTCATTTGATATTTAACCATAATTGTTTTATTATTGAATTGAATATACCTTGAATATATATGCAAGGAATCATTTCCTACAAATTCTTTTATAAGATATTTGAAAGGCGTTTTTATCCTTCATTTACACAAGTATTAGAGGATTAAAGCACCTTTAAACTTGATTTCATATGATTTCAAAATTGTTAAAGCTACATGTAGGCTTCACAAATTTAAAGAGCCTGATAACCCCTAAAAGAAATTAATCGATCGTCATTTATAAACTAAACAGTGCCAGGAAGTAGGGAATTAATATAATACAGTTTGCTAATGCAGCTAAATCAAATAGGAAATACCTAAATATTCAGAGTTGATACCATCATAAAAATCACATGATAATTGGTTTGTAGGACTTAATTCCTGATCCTGAATGTGATTCATTCTGATTTTAGACTATTTTTTTTCTTTCTGTGAGGGTTATAATATTATTTAATTATTGAACAAATTTAGCAAGGTGCAGTTCTAATTTCAACTTGCTTGTAGGTTGAGCAATACTCTCTCGTGGGTAAGTGAATTCATTTTAACCTTGTCATGTACCCACTATGATTATCTGAACTCCACGTCAGTACAAGTAGTTTAAGAAATCATTATTTCAATCTCGCCACTGATAACCATATTTGTTGCAAATCCATTAACACCAAAATATGAAAAATGTACGATTGAATTATGACGGAGAGGAAGAAATCTGTAAATTCTGTATAGAAGTATTTCTGTAAAAGCCATGATAGCCATCCCTCGTCTATCTCTATAATCGGTCACAAAAATGGAATTACATGTACATGTAAATACCCTGTGATAAAGCTTGGTTATCTGTCTAAATTTTAGACTCTAAAAACAAAATTCATTCAAACGTAACCATAGTCTTGTGAGTGAGATTCATGTCATCAGACATTGTGATGCATATTGATTTTTTTTTTAAATCATCTTCTATCTCCTGTAATACTTGTTACCATAGCAACAACCCCACCATCCATGACCTCTTCGTCCTCGTCAGCAACAGAGCTTGGAGTCGCCGTAGGTCCATCTGCAATGATTCCTCCGATAGACCCTGAGGCTATACAAGACCTAGAGAAGCAATGTCACATGGTCGCTGATAATCTCAACCTCATGCTGGGACACCTCTCAAATAGCTTGCATAATGTAAGCATCAGTATTTCACTGCAAGAACACCTTTTTGTTTGTTCCCCCGAACCTTGTACAGTACTTGTCAACATTGTTTCATCCTGTTATATTCAAGCAAAATTGAAACATTGACTGCAAATTCTTCTTTGCTCGTTTTATTGAGAAAATACCAAGTGTTAGAATGTATAATCTGCCCTTCTTACAGTGTTTGACACAGAAATCTTTAATGTACATTACCTTTTCTCTTTATTTGACAATCAAAATAAACATTTGATCAGTAGAGGTGTCATTGGATCACATGGTTCACGGTTAGAGTCCCGCCACAGCACTAAATGTCCTTTGGCAAGACATTAATCTTCAAATCTCACTCTCGACACAGGTGAAGTAAATGGGTACCAGGTAGGAAGAAATTCTATGAATGCTTCAGAGACTTTTTATGGCGCCTCAGCTACAGCCGGGGTAAAAATATACTGTGTATTATAAAGCGTAGAAGAACACATTTATAAAGTACATGTAGCTGCACTATATAAATGGACCTATTATTATTATTATTATTATTATTATCATTATCATGTGACATTGAGTGTATTTTTATATTTTTCTTCTTTTTGTGCTTACATGATCAGATGTCAGCCATAACAGTAGGTCACATACAGACATACAGAGATGCAGTAGAAAAAGCAGGAATTACAGTGGATCACAGTGTGAAGGTGAGCAGAACAATCCTAAAGTATCATTTATATCAGCACTGATATAAAAGTCAGTCCATTCCTAGGATACATACTGGAGTTATTTCCCTAGTATCTACATTTTTTTTGATACAGTCTGTAAGCCAAGAATGTAATTTCCTAGAGTTGTGATACAAGTCATTATCATTTACTTTCATTCAATCAAATTAGCCTTGGAAGATAAAAAAAATGATTAATACTAAGGCCACGTCCCCGCCCGCTTCCTTTTTGAGGGCTGCCTCCTATTTATTATTTTTTGTTTGTATTTTTGTATTTTTTTTTTTAAAGAAAAAAAACATGAAAAACACTGCTAAAATGGATCTATTTCTGATTTTAAAAAAAAAAAAAAAAATGTTGGCAGCCATCTAGAAAAATAGCCCGACTGTCAGGGAAAAAAAAAAGAAAGAAGGCCTCCTCCTTCCTATTTTTCTAAAAAACGGGACGCTAAACATGTTATTTTTTTTTTTTGGGGGGGCCTAAGCATGCATAGAATTGCTATAAACTCATTGTTCCCAAACAAGTGGTGATATTAGATAGTCCTTACTGATACAAAGGTGTGATTGGTCCACAATTCATCACGTGATATTGATTGTGAGGATCGTAATTTGTATATTTTACTCCAGATTGCTACACACTATATATCTTGTAGGGATTACTCAGCTTGGTACACACCAACACATACTCAATAAGTTAAGTTCACACTGATATATTTGTCTCAGATTCTGAAACAAAATTCTGGATTTTGCTCATGCTGCAATGATAATTATAGACCTTTAGGTCAGTCAGGAACCCCATGACTTTTACAAGCCGATCGCCTGTCTGATTATCAAGATATTTATGATTGGAATTACAAATTTTGAAAACCGTTTGCCAAACGGTTTTCATTACACTACAGTCTGTTGGGAAAAAGAGTATGGTAAAACCGGTCACTCAAAGATTTTTACTTTTTTGAGGCGCTTCTTGATCATTTTGAAGTGCAATTTTTTTTAGGGCTTCAATTTAACACCATATCACAGACACTGATAACACGTAGGGCCGTGTATCTCAGATTTAACATTGTTAAACGATCCCTTTAATGATTCGGATATGATTTATTCTGGTTCGCCCGGTAGCGTCAATCCTGTGGATAATCAACAAGTCAACTACATATGACGTCACAACAGATTACATATCGATAATAACAATAACATAGGTCATTTTTTATATTGACCGTTGTGTTGAAATGAGTATATTTTAGCATTATACCTATTGTTTGAGTTGTCTTTATAGCCATGTGCATTTGACAAGGAAGACTGGACGGCTCCAGAAAAAAGACATGACATGACAAGACAAGGCATGACATCGCAATGGGTGGATTCACAATTAACAGCACCCCAACTGGCAAGCCGCGACTGGCCACTTTTTCAGCTCGCAGGTCCACATACATCTTTCAAACAGTGCAGCGCAGCAAGCTATTTAAACATTTCCCATCAAATATTGTGATTGAATCTCCTTTTCTTCTTGGGTATATAACAAAGCCACAAGTGATACAATGTCGACTTTTTCCCATGATACGTCATGTCATGTGAATTTGAGTCTAAAGATCGGTGGCACTCCTTTGGGTTACGTACCCAATTTGCTAGATGGAACTATAGATTGTGAATCCATATTATTATGTAATCAATGCTATCTAATAGAACAGTTATTAACTGGAAATGGATGTACATGTAGTATACATTTGTAGAACCCAGGGGAGTTAATTCCCTTTGGCCGTACGAAGAATGAAAATATCGCACTCCCTACCAGTCAATATATGTTTAGTGTTAAGATGATGTAGAAGGATGGGTAACTATTTCATTCTTTTTTTCCATTTCTGTTGCAGGCGATGTATGCTCTTATGGCCAAAGTGGAAGAACTGAATTTTTCCATGCCAATGGTTTATGATCTTGCCAAGCAAATGTATCCTTAAAAAAAAATGCAGATTGGAGAAGGTTTTAATTCACAGATCAGTATGAATGATCTGGGCCCCGTCTTATAGTTTGCAGTCTCCTATCTCTTATCTTCATAGTTCTGATTGATATCAATCGCAAAGAAGTTGCGATTAATATCAACTCTTTATAAGACGGGGCCCTGATGTTGGTTTTCAAACCATTTACCAGTACCTGCTTTTTGTGCCTGAATTAGTTCATTGGTTTGTGCATTTTAGAGATGTTGTAGTCAAGTGGTTTAAACTTGATGGAGATGTAAGTATTTTAGGTGCAGGGCCTGACATAGCACTAGTGTCCTTTGGCAATTAAAAAATGTACAATTCCCACATTCTACCCAGGTGTATTAAGCCCACTGCACACTATACAATCTTTCTGTCTTCCAGTCTTTTGAAGAAATGGCAATCATATTACTGTAGATATAGAAGTCTAAACATCATATTTCTGATTTAGGTTTTAAATAATGATAAGAATGCTAACAACCCAAATTTGAGTGCATTTAAAGTTAAAGACCAGTTCTGGTCATGCGATTACATTGTAAAAGAAACGTTCTGGAATCATCAAAATGATAAGAAATTTGGCCCAGTCTTGAAGTTACAAGCACTGAACACAGAAAGATTTATGGACTACGCGACACGTGCGCGATATCTATCGGGTCCAAAAAGATATAATATTTACCAAATATATCAATAGGCGGTTTTCCGGCAAAATTGGTATCATCACGTATTAGTCAAAACATATTCTTTCACATGATTGGTAATAAGAGCTTCCATTTATTTTTGAGAGGGGGCTAAAACTGGTCTTTACAAACTTTCTTGTCAGAATGAAAGCTGAATCGGTTTCAAATCGTACAATCCCACTACTGGTATGGTGTCACTATGATTCTGAGCGGATTTAGCTATTCCCTCAAGGAAGCGTGAAATCAATTCATTGTAATTTTTATTAATGATATGACCATTCAAGTAATATATCATTTACGACATTTGAATGTTCTTATCATATGTTATTGTAAATTCTTCCAAAATTAGATCGTATAGTGTGCAGTAGGCTTTAAATGGGTGTATCTGGTAGAGAGGAAATTCTTGAATGCTGTGGGCACAAAAACAATCTAGCTCCTTTGCTTTTTTAGTATACATAAGTTGTTTTGTTTGATTTTGCTGATTTTCTGTCTCTGATTCCACTATGTATGTGTATCAATCATTTGATTTTCGTATACATGTATGAACTGATTTCTCCTTGACCGTAATCATAACAGTAAATCAATCAATAGTCAACTTGATGAACTGGAGAGCCTATGTAAATGAGCTTCTTGTGCAGCATAGCCAGGCATCTCCTGCAATGAGCTTCTTGTACAGCATAGCCAGGCATCTCCTGTAATGAGCATCCACATTATCCTTGCATGAAGATAGTCTTGTGCCACAAAGATTGCCCAAATCAGTCTTGAACACTGCCTGCAGAGCTATCTCTAGATGTCTTAAACTAAAGAGAGTAGACATACTAAATGATACTTGCTGTATGGTATCACCCTACGACATGCATGTACCAGCCGAGTGTTTTCATCACATGCAGGTGCAGAAATCCAAAATATGAATTGACCCCTCATCCTTTCCTCCCGAGTATGAACCATGCAGAAAGAGACACATTTTAGTCCTCCTAATCACACCATTGGCCCTTTGATGGCATCATCCATTATCATCATCATCGTCGTCGTCGTCATCATCATTACGCGTCTGTTTTTCCCATGCTGTGGGGTTGGACATTTCATTTCCTTTATGGCTCTTCTCCAAGAATCCCGGTCTTCAGCATCCGCCAGGGTGAAGTGATGAGATGCTCTCATATCTTCGTCTAACGTCTCCTTCCAGGTTTGCGAGGTCTGCCACAGGGTATTGAGCAGGCAGCCTGGAATCCGTTGCTTTCTGAAGCCAGCGGCTTTTTTTTCTCTCCAAGCCATCATAGCCCAAGGATGTTCTTGTCATCTAGTACCACATGAGCTTTCATTTGGTCCCAACAAATCTCTCCCATCAGGTTCCAGTGACACATGGCCCATTTGGCCCAGTGGCTTTTTTTTCTCTCCCAGCCACCATATAGGCCAAGGATGTTCTTGTTATCTAGTGCCACATGAGCTTTCTTTCGGTCCCAACAAATCTCTCCCATCAGGTACCAGTGACACATGGCCCATTTGGTAATGTGTGCCTCAGAATATATTGACAGTGCAAGAGCTAATGGGATTACATGAGATTAGACAAAACATGTGTGTCTTTGGGAAGGGAAGGAAAGTGGGACACTTTTTAGTCAGTCTTCACCTACATGTACCAGAATCTTGCATCCCTTAAGATCTTGAAGGGTTGATATATCCCAGACAAGATCATGCACCCTGCACTGGATGTATTTATTGTATTACCCAAGAATATACATGTATAAATGTACTGCTCCTAAGTGTACTTTGTACATATATGATTTTATAAGATTACACATCATGTCAATTGTAGTCCTAAACTGTTATTCAGAATATTTTTAATCATCATTTAATTTTTCACTTTTACATCGAGTCATTTGAAATTGAAAAATATGATACAGATATTTTTAGATTGGATAATTATGATACAGAAACAGATATTGCTTGGACATGTATACAGATATATTTTTCTCTGTAGATCTACATACTGGAACGTATATGTCAACAGAGAACAATTTAACAAATATGTTCTTCTACAGTTTATTAGTACTGTATACATTGCAAATGAAATTGAGCACATATCTGTGAAAAGTTTTATGTGCATATTAATGCAAAATTAATCCAAGCTTTATGTGCCATGCACCAAGAAGACAGTGCAATATCCTTTGAAGACATTGGACTGGTAGAGAAGTTATGCCACATTTTGCTTGACAGTTCCAACTTATGTTTTATTCTGACATTTGAAATGTCCTTCTTGCACACTTCAAACTTTAGAAGAAGAAAATGTGTCAATTAGTGTCTTGCATCCGCTAATTTTACATTCATGCATTCAATTTGTTGAACAGTGACATTCCTAATTCCAAATTATTTATTAGAAAATGTGAAACATGTACTCGCAGCAAAGATGTGTTGTGCATGGTTGTACGTGTGTTTAGATTCAGTCATTGATAATTTGTATATATTTTGTTTAATATGGATGGTGCAAGATTATGTAATCAGCTTCTATGCAAGTTGCTTGTCTTCAGATGTGTTATTGAAGATGAAAATAGTGTAACATTGACGTTTTGTTCTGGGTAATATGATGTAATTTTTTTTAAATGCATGTTGCATAACAAGAGCACATTGCAGGTATATTTATAACTGAATATATGTATTTCAGGTGTGTAACTATTGCTGCCTACTTTCATTATGCAGACAGTATCTGAGCTACTGGAATAGCCAGTCATGATTTTTTTTTTTTTTTTTTTTGGGGGGGGGGGTTCACTCAGGCTTCTGAGATTTCAACAATTCTTGCAGCAAGTGTGTGAAATGAATGGCACCCTTGTGTTAGTGGGAGAGTGATGGGAGCTTTTACAAATTATGTATAATAAAATTGTAAATGTGATTTTTGCAGAATCATTTGCTACTTTCCTTCAGTGTTCAAGCTAAGGGCCATATTAGGGAAGCATGTTTAAAGCCAGAGTTCTCATTTCTAAAGCAGTTTGGAAGTGAATACAGACATTTCTTTTATGCCATGTACTTCACACTAATGGGAGTTCAAGGGTACTTCATACAAACAAATTTTAAAAAAATTCAGGTCCTGATGTTCATTAAAAATACAGTATACATGTATATCTCTTCACTTATAGGGCGTTGCAAAAAAGTTGCGATTGACCGATATTTGCAATTGATAGCAATTCAACTTTCTTGCAATGCCCCACTAGTCTCCTAAATATCCTAGGATTTGTTAGGATTAAAGTTTTAACAATTAAATTAAGTTAACTGGATCTAGCTTTTATTCCCCCCCCCCCCCCTCTCTCTCTCTCTCTCTCTCTCTCTCTCTTACTTATGCCTCATTGGAGTTGTAAATAATCGTTTAATTAATGTCATTATATGTATGAAAAATATGAGTCAAGCAAACCACTTGTAGACCTTGTTAATATGTAATTTTTTTTTTTTTTGGGGGGGGGGGGGGTAGAGGTGAGGGATTACTTTCATGTTGAGATTGAATTCATAATGGTAGGTCATTTCTACAGTGAAATATGAGGGTATATTTAGGCTTTGTACATTTATATCAATGTTATTTTTGTCAAAGTGGTCGGTCCATTGCAATTTAATGTGTTATTCAGCACACGTCTATGGTATACATTGTGAAAGATATTTTAATGTTGAAAAGGAAACAAATATAAACGGACATAAAAACATTTTAAGAAGTCACGATTGTATCAAAGACTGAACATGTATTGAAGTTAAAGTGATAGAGTTTTCAGAGATGTGATTTGAGGAGGGATGCTGAAGAAAGAAAAAAAGAGAATGTTTGAAGTAAAGGACTGAGCAGGAATATACGAGTGCCATTGATACAAAACACAAGACAGGGAAAGAAATAAGTGTTTGTGAAGTCTAATATATCTGAGTGCATGTGTGAAAAGTGTTGTCATTCTTTGGGTACAAGAGCCAGAGTTGCTTTTAAGAGCTTATATTTATTAAGTAGGTTCAAATACGCGCTTCCTTTGCAGGTGGGGAAACAATCAAATACCTCTCTTTTGCATAACAAAGAGACAATAACAATTCGAGATATTCTGACATATTGGTAATAAGTTTTTGCAGACATGTAGTATTGTCGCCAATACCATTTCCCATGCAACTATAAATGCACATTCTGACTACATTCCCCAGAGATTCAATTTATAAAAATTTATCTCGAAAAATAGCCTTGCATGTCACTTCCTGTCTTAATATTTATTTATCCCTCTCACACTCCCAAATATTCCTATAATCTGTCCTCTCACTCTCCTCTCTATTAAACTCCCTTGCTATTCTCTTCTCTTCTCTCAATATCAAATATTACCCGACAACAACAAGAAGACAAAATATCACTTCAAATTCTTATCTAGGATCCTTTCCCTTTTTTTAAAACTCTTCTTCATAGAACCATGATCATATATGTAGCACATGTGTATCGCACCACGGTGAAAAGTTAAAGGTGAAAATAATACACCTGCATGCATCCACAACACATGGATAGTGGATATGAAACATATTTTGCCAAGTGAATCGGACACATTTAACTATCCAGGCCATACTTGGCATAGTTGATGGATTGTTAAAAGAGAATAAAACCCTGTGACTGACCGGAAATAAACACAAACTGGACAAGTAATTTTTACTCCCCTGGACAGTTACAAATGTCTAAACTTTAAGGTTCAGAGAAACTAATTTATGTTTTAAAGGTACTATGTCCCATTTGCAGGCCAAACAAATGAAAAGGTTAATAACGATTATTAGTTGTCGAATTGACTTGAGAGCTACAGGGCCAGTAAGTAATAGTCTGATTTACAGACCATTGTAGCGAATGGCCGTACGTTTTATGCTGCGCAAAGATTCAATCAGTTTAATTTTGGCCATTACAAGAAGTGGGTTATTGATGTAGACAAATGCTCATGTACCCTTTCTGCTCATTTTATGTATGTTATTACCAAAGAAGAAAAAAAGCCAGTCAGTCACTCAATAGTGTCTGACGGTGAAGTCTAGCAAGTGAACAGGTTTCCTTGCATAATTTGAATATTGGGACACTGCTAACGTTTAAATTTCACAGATAGGACATGCATGACATATTCATAATTCCTGCAAAGTTCTACAGAATTTGATGTTGGCTACAGTGAATCTACTCCCACGGAAGAATGTCGTTCCTCACAACGAAATAAGAAAGGAAGTGGTGCAGATTCAAATTTGGAACGAATCAACACTCACTACAATAGGAAAATGCAATATCAAGACAAGAAATCCTGTTGATAACAAGAAATATCTTGTTGATTATAATAGCAAGGCTATTTGCTGATGACTGTGCGGTCTACAAGAGAATCACATCACCTCAGGATGCTGCACTACTTCAAGAAGACTTAGATGCCTTGCAGAAGAGGGAAAGAAAGTGGCTAATGGAGTTCCATCCTTCCAAGAGAAGTTGTTTGCATAACAAACAAGCGCAAGCCTACATCTTCAACCTACTCCATCCATGGAATGATCCTTGATGTAGGAAACAATATCTCACTGAATCTACGTTCATCACCAGAGGTCATGGCTCACGTTTCTGGACTCTGTACTACAGCTCTCAAGTGTACTCTTCCTCCTTCTTTCATTGCACCAGCAAAGAATGGAACTCTCTGAAGAAAGACCCAAGAGAGTTTGTCTCACTCAAGCCTTTAAAGCATAATAAGCATGATAACTTTGAACAGATATATGTCGCCCTCTATCTGAATAGGCAGTACAGTGTTACAACTGTAAGTCTCATAAACAAGATATTGTCACAGAAGTTAAAACTGTTGTTTCAGGACTCTTCAATCAGGGTGTTTGAACTTAAGCAATTTGAGAAGATACTGCACCTCTGATCAATCATCTTTGGTTCTTTTCTCACAATTTACTACCCCAAAAATGAGGGAATTCATAAAGTGATATTAAAGAGAGTATTATAGAGAGAGTGGGGGAAGGCAGAGAGCGGACAGAGAGAGAAAGAGAGAGAGAGAGAAAGAGAGGGGGATGAGGTACACGTAGTACATTGTAAATGAGCACTACATTCATGTATAAGTTGTTTATCACTTCCAATCTATGCTCAATTATCTTTATTAATTCATCTGACGAGTTGTTAAAGAGTGGGATATCATTCTTTTGCATTCTTAGAGAGCACGATTAAATTCAGAAGCACCTCCAACTGAACACGGACATGTACTTTAACTCGAGTGTTTTTCAAGAATAATGGGGAGGATCATAAGAAGAGAAATAGGGTACCCAGTATAAGGTTGTTGGGCATATCCATGGTAATAGTCATTCCAATAACTATTTGTGTATCCCTGAGGCGAGTAACTTGAGTATGGCCTTCCATGGTATGCAGCTCCAGGTATTGGAGCAGCAGCATAGTAATCATAGCTTCCATCATACTCCCAACCCTCTACATTACAGCTTGGTTGATTGGAAATTGTTCAGTTGTCCAACTAGGATCATCTGGACATTGTGGATATTTATTTTGTCCTTCACAGTAGTGCTTTTCTTCATTGTAGCTGCTATTAGCTTTAGAAAGATTCTTCTCCTTTGCTTTGGCTTGATTTAACCCCATGTGGTGCTTTCCACTCCCATTTCTTGCAGGTTCCTTTCCTTTCCACTTATTCTTGCGGTTGCTCTCAGATGCCTCCTTGCCGTCTTCCTCTTCTTCTCCATTGGTACCGCTGCTTCCACTATCAGTTTCACTTGAAGAAGAGCTACAAGTGCTTGTGTTACTCTCACACAAACTGCTTGAAGACTGATCTGACAGTGTGGCGTCCTTTCTACCAACTTCTGATGGAAGACATGCTGGAATGAAATTTTTGAAAATTGCCCACACAGGGTCATCTAATGATGACACAGAACTGTCATTTTCTAGGGAAAGACTTTTCTGAACTGATGTTCTCACTTGTTTGTCCTTCAAGGTTTCTCTTTCACCCGATTCTGGAATTTGGCTTTCTTCATAACCATTTTTTGCATGATGAACTTGATGTGTCACATTTATCTTGTTACACAAAGGAAATCTTTCAACTTTTTCTCTGTCAGTATCATTAGTGTCCAAATCACCATCACACAAGCTGGTATTTGGATTGCTGATGAGAGCTACATCAAGTTCTTTGGGAGACATCAGAGCACCGAGGGTACTCATCTGAAAGACATGTTGTTTGATTCTTTGCTGCTTCCCTTTCTTCTTTCCTCCTGTAGTATTCCTAGCCTTTGGTTTAGTTTCTGTTTCAGGTTCATTCCTTGATCGGATGTCTGGGGAACCATTGGAGACTTGGTGATGAAGCCTACTTTCAACCTGTGGAACTTTGACTGTCTCATCGCTTTCTTGAATGTCTTTGGTTACTTTTGATGTGCACTGGGTCTGTTTTGCATCTTGCTTATCTCCTAACTTTCTTGCCACTTGCTTGTTCACGACTGAAGAAATGTCCATTAAAGGAGTCACACTTTCTACTGACTCTGTCTCTTTTGCCTCTGTTACAGCTGTAATTGCCTCATCATGATGTTCAAGTTTGATCAAAGTAGAGTTGTCTCCCCTTCCTAAGTGATTGCGTATAAATGTATCACAGAGTAGACCCCTGTACCTCTCTATCTCTTGGATGGGTGTTAAGCCAGAGATCCTTTTCTGCGCAATTTCATGATCTGCATTTCCACTCCCATTGTAGACTTCATCTTTGTATTTGTTCTGATAGTCATCACCAATATTGAGATCATTGCTTGATGTGACATGAGAGTTTCTAGAAGTCACATCTGCATCATTTTCTTCACCTTCTAACTGTGATATTTCAACCGACAGTTCCTTGTCATTTTTCACTGTCTGCTCAATGACATCCGTCTCCTTGTCTACCCTGTCATCTTCTGACCCTTGACCTTTAGTCTCCACTGTTTGACCCTTCATGAACTTTTCAAACGATTCTTTACCTTCATACCAGGTACGAGCTCTTCTTGATCCATCTCCTCTTTTAATATGGGACACTTGAGGAAGACTGAGCTTCCTCACTTCTGGGGCATCTTCAAAGCCAATCGGTAATGTCGGTCTGTCTTTGTGATCCCCACTTCCAGTAACGTATCTTATCTGTGATGTCTTGGCCTTTGGTTGAACAACATCTTCCTGCATAGTTTGGATACATGCATCAACTTTCTGTGGTTCATGGACTCCTCTTCTAGTCTTTGGTATAGGATTTTGGTTCACCATACTTTCCACAATCTTTGTTGTCTTCCTATCCGCTAAACTATCAGCACTATCTTCCATCTTGTGACAACTCCCATTGATTCCCATATGGAGTGAATGTTGTTCATCCGTCCCATTTGCGATAACAGATTTTGGCATGGGGTCTTCTTCTTTATTCACAACTGAGGAAGTCAACAAAGCATCATCTGATGTTTTAGCAGTAGCATTGTTTTCCAGATCATCTGTGGTGGTATTTCTTGTAGAATCCATCTTGGCTGCAGGGAGGAGAGAATGTGGTGTAATAGAAACCCGTTGAAGTCCCGTTGAGTTGTGGTCCTGCTTCAGCAAATCAGATGGAGGAGGATCTAATGAACAAAAGGAACAAAGATGAACCTTCTAATCAGAAACTTACACAATTATTATCATGTCATCACATGCTCATTATTTCAAATACAGCCCAAGTTACTTCTTTTTTAAAGCTGAAAGAATGCCCTGGTAGTGCAGGAATAATAACTTTTTGATTGACACCTGGTATCATCTAACTACAAATCAGACACTAAATATGAATATCTTTGAAGCTATTTGCATGGTACAGAACAAAATATGAAATGTTACACCTCATAAAACTAAATACAAAAAAATAACAAATATATCGATTTACTTACCAGGTAGCTCTGTCATTGTCACTCGACACTGACGCTGGATATTCCTGAGTAGTTCCATCTCCCTACCCTTGGAAGCAAGGCTGATAGCAGCTCCATGGGTACCGAAGCGCCCCGCCCTCCCAATGCGATGAAGGTAGGTCTTGGTGTCGGTTGGAATGTCTAGGTTGATGATCAGGTTGACATTCTCAGCATCGATACCTCTGGCAGTCTAAACAAGTTGGAAAGACATTCATTAACTTTCTAGTTTTTGTTTATTCATTGTAGTTTTATATGTTCTACTTTCACAATTGACAGTCTTTATTGTTGTTGATAATGTACAACTTTCTGATATATGATCTTACACTGTGGACTACATCAATATAAAGAATGTTCTTAAAATTTGGCAATTTTTCTAAAGCTTTCACTGATATGCTTCTGCTTTCATTCAAGGTACGATTTGATTTGCTATCAATATCCTATCAATGTTCTTGTCATTCCACACAAGTCTTACAGCTGTATTTGGTCAGTTTTCCATTAAATGATCCTACCCTGGCCAAAGTTTGGTCAATTAGACAATTACAGTGCCACAATGTGAATTTAACAGAGGTCAAGTAGTTTCATGGTTAAACCCGACTTTAATAGACCAAGAGTACACACATAGTTAAATTCAACTTGTTAAGAAGTAGTTTAAAGGGCTACCAATACATGTCATAATTTTGACTTTACAGAGAAATTTATGAAATCTATTGCTCACTAGATCTGTAGAGATGAGGATCCGACACTGGAATTTCTTTAGCTTGGCCATAGCACTGAGTCGTTGAGACTGCTCCTGTGCACCTGATATACACTCACTAGGCCAACCAGAGTCACAGAGGATGTCACATAGATTCTGAGCCCTACAGGGTCAAAAATACATTGGATAAAAGTCAAATGATACATAAATTGTTGTCCATAGTGTGGTATTGTTATATCTATGTGCATGTAATTTTTCTGCAAAACAAGCGTTTGTTACGTCAAATTACTATTTTTGTAAACTTCACCTGTCTTTGCATCACATCAGTATTTTCATTTATTTTCATTTATTTAATTTCCAGGATCACAATATATTAAACTATAAGATACATAGAAAAAAAAGCACATAGAAATGATGATAATAATAATATAAAATAAAGAATAAGAACCAATGTCGTGGGATTTCCCATAAAGCTTATAAAGTTCTGCTAAGGGCTCTCTTCATTGGTTGTTTCAAATAAAATGTCCCCCCCCCCCCCAAAAAAAAAGAGAAGATCATAATAATGATAATTATTATTTTTAAAAATAAAAGATTATTATAATGATAACAAAATTAAAGAACAAAATGTGGCAGAGAAAGAAAAACAGCCAGATTGCTCAAAATGATTGTACTTATAGGATGCATGTCAAAAGATAACACATAACACATTGGATATTGAATAGCATATTACTGGAATACATAAGAGGGTAACTCTTTCATGACTCACATTTCTTAACCCTTATTGTACTGGGGGGGGGGGGGCCTGGGAGCCCCCCCCCCCCCCTCGACATTTTTGTAGATCGCGCCGCAACCGCTCAGAATTTTGAATTGTCGTTTCATGACTTTTTTCTCTCAAGTCTTACGCACATTTTGATACCATTTTCGTCGAAATCGGATATACCTGTAAGGTGTTACATAACAATTAGTATGCGCATGTCATCAAAAAAGTGCTATAATTGCATATATTCATGTACAAGCAGAAATGTGAAGATATGAATTGATATCAAATTGCTTTTATATGTTTCTCAAAGTAACTTGATGTATTTCAGAACAAAAGAATACATTAGAAATAAAACAATAGATATAATAAGAAATAAGAAACAATAAAATACATAAGAAAATAAATAGTTGAAAATCGCATCAAATTTGCATAAATTATCATTATTAATTACATCAAATAACTATTTTGTGTCAGAAAAGAAGTTTTATATGAATAATGAGTTTCAACATTACAAAAGTGGAGTCTGGCAATTTTTGAAATGATTCTAGTTCCCTATATATATATTTCTAGATTTGATATTCATGAATGCATATTCATAATTTATGCAAATTAACCTATGCATTTTCAAATATCATAAAAATAATGAAACCTCATGAATTTGAGATGAAGGAAACATTTATTCAATACATTTTCAAGATTCTTCACAAGTCTACGGACAAGTATGTAGAATTTTCTGTAAAATGCATAAAATTAGCATTTTGCATAATTAATTAGTCTATAACGACAAAAATTTGCATATTAGGAAAAAACTAATTATACCATCTTGTTCCTTATGTAAATATCTACAAACATGCAAATTTAGCGCTCGAAATAGCCCAGTACAGTAAGGTTTAATCCTTACCTTGTCTGTAAGTTGGAGAAGATGAGACATTGATTGAAGGATACTTGAGTCAGGATTTTCAGCAGTTTGATAACCTTGATCTCAAATGCTTTGTTAGGAAGAGAGTGGCCAGGTAACTCCACATACAACTGCTTGATGCCTACAATGTAAAAAAAGAAACATTTCCTTTTACACTGTACCTTCTTACAGGCTTGTAAGAAACAAACAAATAACATGACATATTATAATTCTCCTGTCCGCATATATAGGTGAGAACAAGCCAACGAAAGTGGCTCTCTATTTTTACTAGCTAATTTGCGGTGATTTTGCAGTCACATGAACTTCTGGTCAAATCAGGCCACACAGTAACACAGTAACACTTCACTGTCATTAGCACTATATAAGAAAGAGAAAAATGTAGAGCTTCGGTATCTACAAATATGTGACTCTGCTGCATATTATAGGAAATTACGAAGACTGGGCCAAATTTCTTATCATTTTGATGATTCCAGAACCCTGCAGTACACATCAATACTTATATATGCTAGATGATCAACCTTTTCTGATAGATTCCACAACGTTTCTTTCACAATACAATCGCATGACCATAACTGGTCTCTATCTTTAATCGACATAATTTAATATCGCTTGCGTATTTTCAAAATTTATAAGAGCAAGGTAGATAATAAATCACATGAATTAGCATATCGTAGAATAACAAAATGGAATTTTTAGGATCACTGGAAATTAGTGTCTACAAAATCGCCAAGCTATCAGAGGCACAATGCATTATGGGAAATTTGGAATGTATATTGCTATATGCGGTAGCGAGAATTAGCATTTTAGCCTATACAGCTTTACAGAGTGGGAGGTTCTGTGACATATCAGTCCAGACTAAAATGTACAGCTCTTTAACAAGGTGTGCGGCACTGACACTAACACCTATCATTTGGTAATTATTGAATCGTTAATATCTTGTCATTATGAACATCACTTTATAACCTCATCTGTCATCCACAGGATCATTTTATTAACTCTGGTTAATCCCCAATTGTCTGATTTATTGCACAGTAGCCAAGGAGCAAAATCTGATGCTTTACTTCATCTCTACAGTTAAAGGGAGTGATTGGTCAGTTTCCATGTGCAGAAGGCCATAATTCGCTGACACCAGACTTGGTGGAAAAAAAATCATTAACGTGTGTACAGGTATTAGGTCTGCACACAGCAAACCCGTAGGCCAATCAAGAAATCCTCCGTTGTTTCTCGGAGAGTCTTCGGGTGAGGGAAAAGTGAGATAATGTCTTTACCATGTGAGGGAATGGGTGGAAAACTCAGTACATTACATAAGGCCTGTGGGTCATAAAACTGAAGGCTAATTCTGGTGATTGACAGCACCTCTTATTGGGTAAACACCCGAACGGTGTTGAATTCCCCATGAGAGTTAACTACTGTGTGTCTTTAATTAAACATATTTCATGTACTATAAAAAGGCATACATGCCTCTCCTAGCTGAATAACTTACCTCTTAATGCGAGATCCTTTGGATTGAGTCGAACAAACATAGGTTCTCTCATATATTTAGTGAGATGTTTGGCAAGGTACTCGGGGTAGGTTGCAGAGAGTGCTAACATCTGCTTGTTATCTGAAAGGTGGTTGTAAATCCAACTGTAAAGTCAACCAGAAGAGAATTGTATTAGTGATTCACATGAGACAAATATTCCTGCTATCATATTTTAGTCTAGATAAATGCAAGGACTTCTTTCTATCTCCTACTACATGAAGAAATATTCCAAGCATTCTTTGAAGAGTGGGGATTAAGATGTTAGCATCACTAATCCTGAAATCAACAAAATGTTTTGCATATTATGGCTTGGGTCATGATTGTGAAAGTGAACATCATCATGTTTATCTCTATAATTTGATTTGTAGGGATCTTTGAAGAAAAAAAACTGAAATGAGAAGTGTGTTCACAAGTAAATTTGAGTTTGATATCCTCTCATAAAGGGATAAATCGCAACTCATTTTACCTATCAAGCAACATTCTTTTATTAAACACTCCCTCAAATATACAGTCTAAAAGCCAACACTCTGGTCAAAACTATAAGTACTTATAAGTGAATCAGATGTCATACTCATCTGTAGGGAATAAACTCAAATATTTCCTTTTACATAAAATCTATTAGCGGTCAATACATCAACATGCAACATTGATGACTTACTTGACTTGCTCCTGAAATGTATCATCAAGTAGTTTGTCTGCTTCATCCAAGACAAAAAGCCTGATAGTTCCGGTCTTCAATACTTCATACTCAATTAGCTGTTTGATACGACCTATAGCACAAATGTACAAAATGTTACTTTAATAATTAGCCAAGTGGCAAATCATTTGGATTTATAATTGAAGACACAAAAACATATTTTGCAAACATTCAAAAGTGATTTGAAAGTTTGTTTTCACTCCCTGCATCTACAAAGAGTAAGAAACATGGGGGTGTTTCACAAAGACTAAGATCGACCTGAAGTTGGACCTGAACTATGGCAGGCCATTCATGCTGATGGTTGCTCTCACCATTGGTCTCTCAAGGGACATCACAAATCTACAGAATTTACATTTTCTGATAGTTCATTTGAAGAACAAAAGTTACTTACATTGCAAATTTATGTTATATTTAAGACTGGGACTTATGGTAGGCGATTTATGCTCTTAAAAAGTCTTGAACCAGATGTAAAATTATGATCTTTAGATTATATTTTTCCTGCAATAATGAACTATCACAAAAATTGAATTCTGTAGATTTGTGGGTCCCTTGAGAGACCAATGCCAGGAATGGTGAGAGCAACCAGTTCATAAACAGCCTGCCATAGTTAAAGTCCAACTTAAGTTGATGTTAGTATTTGTAAAACACTCCCCAGGTCAATCAAAGCAAATGAAACTTCTATCTTGACAATATGATTTTCCTCTCATCCTAGATAAACCAAGGAAATCAGGAAAGGTAAGAATTGTGTGATGTGATTTAATACAAAGAATATTATTGAGGGGGGATTTTTTTAACCGACAAGAAAGTGTGAAAGAGTGGTTCTTCTCATGACTATGTACATGTACACGTATGGTGGCTCTGTGAGTATGAATCTAGCCAAGTGTTCTTTTTCCTTTTTGGGGGGGGGGGAGGAGGGGAGAATGTAGGAAGAAGTAACCTAGAAGAAACATAGAAAGAAATGTATGTTGAGCCGTGAGCACACTGTGTTTCCTTTAAATTTCATTAAACACACAAGAAAAATCTCATATTTACACACTTTATCAGTCCGTTCCATTTGTATAATTAGTGCAGTGGGCCTTGAAAGAAGCCTTACTCAAACATAAGTATCATGTGATGGGCTTCACTGGATGAGTCATCATTATTTACCTGGTGTACCAACAGCTATGTGACACTTCTTCAACTTCTGCCTGTCTGGTCCAAATAGAGTACCTCCGATAAACACATGAGAACGTAGTCCCTCCATCTCACATCCTATAGCTCGAATAGTGTCTTGAATCTGGACTGCAATCTCTCTCGTGGGGGCTAGAATCAGAACCTGAGTAGATGGATTGGTGAGATCTATTCCCTCTAGAGCTATGACACTGAACACACACGTCTTCCCTGTGCCAGACTTAGCCTGGACAATCAAGTCTAAAACAAAAACAAAATACCAGTAAGTTAATTTACTAGTTAATTTTTCCTAATTCTGAAAAAGAATATAATCCTCCATGATCATCTACATGTATAAACTGAAGTATAAATTATAATTAGGTAAGTCGGGTAAAACAGGCAACAAACTAGTCTGATATGTAGTTGACTTAATACCAGTAGGCTTAGACTAGTTAGACCTACCCTTGATATATTTGCTCAAAAAATGCTACAAGTCTTCTCGCTCATCAGCTATACTTGCTACCTTGCATAATATCCTTCAAAATGTATGGGTAAATATTCTTGAAAAGTGAAGTGTGAAAAAAGTATATTGCTTGTTTTTTTTTTGCTTGCTTTTAAAACCTGTGAAGGGGTAGTCACTTTCGTCACCTTCACCCCTCTCTTTCAGTATACGCTACCTTGCACTGGCATACCGATGGATGGGGGGGGGGGGGTTGGGGGCAGTTTCAGTTTAATTTGCAGTTTCAGTTTCAGTTTTATTTTTCATTTCCAACAGAACAGTAATTATGACAAGAAATCAGATAAACAATTCAACATTCAATAATATAATACATTTTACATGGTTTAAAGTTGTGAAATAGAAAGTATACATAATTATCCAGTAGTCTATAATGGGTTTTTTTTTAAATATGGTTTATTTCTAATTCGATACCAGTGATTTCCAAATGTTAGACGGGCCAAAATATTAGTACTTATCCCCCCCCCCCCCCCCCCCACTAAGAGAAATAATTCAAATTCTAACTCAAACTTTATTGATATTAATCCAAACAGGTAGAGTAGAGACCCGGCCCCCCCACTCCGGGGTCGGAATGACCGCATGCGTGTTACCAAAATGTCCGGTAAAGGGGTACTTTTCGTGCGACAAACTCCGGCCCGAGAATTGTAAAAGAAAGGGGTGTATTTGACTTTTCACCTGGAGATTTCTTTAAAAAGGGGGTGTTTTTCTTTTTTTCTCTCATCTCTTTGGATCCTGAGAAATTATTCCAAATTTAGGGAGTACATTGAGCATTTTTCCGTATTTAGGGGGGTCTCCAAGGCAGGAAAAGCCCGGGTAAAGCCCGCGAAGGGGGGGGGGGGGGGGTTCGGAAATGTTGGCAGTCCTCATATACATATGTAGGGGGTGCTTTCAAAAAGAGGGAACGAGCATACATTGTACGCGTACCCTAAATAACACTGAGTTGGGGGGGGGGGGGCCGGAGTAGAGAAAACAATAACCAGGATTTTGGGGGGCTAAATCAAATAATTTATTTGTTTGGGGGGGGGGTTAATGCCCACTAACCCCCCCCCCCCCCCCCCCTCATGGAGGGGGCAAAATGAATTGAAAAAATGTAGTGCTCCACTGAGCAAAATAATAGTTGGCGTGATTTTCAAATTTCGGGCCCCCTCTCTTGGAAAATCCTGGATCCGCCCCCGTCTCCCTCCCCCCCCCCCCCCCCTCCAAAGGCTCCTAAAATTTAAAACCTCCCCTTCCCCTCCCTCCCCCAGGCCACCCATTGACTAAGTTAAATCTCACCTAAACCGCATCTCCCAAGTGGTATTGCCTTTAATTGAATAGGTGAAGGTTTCTCAAAACCAACTTTCTGTAATCCGGCCGTCACGGGTTCGGAAAGGAACATAGATGAGAAGTCAACATTGCTGTTCTCTTCAGTCAAAACATCACTGGTTCTCTCCCTTTCATTGATAGCATGGGCTGTTCTCAAGGAACCCGGAGCTCCCATCCTTGCTTGGCCGGTCTGCGTCTCCATTTCTCACGAACTTGAGGCGTTGTAATGTCTACCGGTGATGTAATGAGGCAGATACGGCAGAAACAGCAGTAGTCTAATGTGCCTCCATAAACAGATAAATACCTCTGCTTAGCTTGGCCATGGACTGCATGCATGCTGCATGTACCCACGCAACCGTCGACGTCCATACGACGTACGTACAGAAACAGTATGGAACGCCAAAATGACAATATAGACCATCAAATATAATTTGTAACGATCGAAAGTAAACAGGCAGGCACGGATCCAGGGAGGGGCGGAGCGGGCCTTTGCCTCCTCTCCCTGTCCCCCCCCCCCAAAAAAAATAGACGGCTCCCCTGCCCCCCCCCCTGCCCCCCTGCCCCCCCCCCCCAAAAAAAAAAAAAAAACAAGTATTACAAATTGTGACCAGAAATTTACCTCTCTTTTTTTGTGCTCAAGGGGGGGGGGGGGGGGGGGGGGGGGGGGGTGTAGAGTAAAAAAAAAAAGCGCTCACTAATATGCCATCCCCCCCCCCCCTCACTGAGCGAAATCCCGGCCGGCTCGATTTTCAAATTTCCGGGGGCTCACTGGCTTAAAACTCCTAAGCTTACGGGGGCTCCCCCCCCCCCCCCCCCCCTGGATCCCGACGAGGGCCCTATATAGGAGGGCCCTGGGTGCTCATCTGACCGTAAAGACCTAGAACCCCAGAGCTTTCAGGAGCTCTGCCCCCTGGACCCCACCAAGAGCCCTAGCTAAGGCAGGCCCCGGTTTGTAGATGCTCATCTGATAAGATATGCCTAAAACCCCTTAGCTTCATGGGGCACAGCCCCTTGGACCCCCCCCCCCCCCCCGCCAATTAGTTACCTGCCAGTCACAAATAGTAAATATGTTACCGTGATTTAATGCATACAACTCTGAGCTTCGCCGGGTTAATTAAAGCCTCTGGACCCCACGCCAATTTACGCTCTACCTGATAATACTCCACTTTGAAAAACGTTCTGCGGGGCTTGCATGTAAAATATAAGAGTGGTGGACTGGAGGTGATGCAAATTTCTCTTCTGCCCCCCCCCCCCCCCCCAAAAAAAAAAAAAAAAACGTTTTTGCTCATTACGCCACTGCCCCTGAAAGGTGAGCCCCAGGAATGTTGATTTTTATATAAACAGTTTATCTAAATTCAAATTGTTAATGATATAACTGGGAAAAAATACTCAATACTTGTGCATCCACACAAAAACACATTACTATCACTATAACTTGGATACTGGAGTGAGGAAATGAAATTCTTATGGGGAAAATGGAAATTTATATTATCAATATAAAGAAAATAATCATAGTGATGCATTGACGTCACAGACTCATGAGTAAGTTGTCAATTTGTCTTGTGATTTTCAAAGTTGTTCCGATGTCATTAATAATTAATAACTTTCTTAATAATAGTTATCTGATTTGCTCAAACTTTTTTTGATTGGCCGGTTTGTCTGATTTTTTTCTTCTATTGAAAGTAAGATATTTTGGAGTGGACTTGCCCTTTAAGTGCATGAAAGCTATAGAAAGTCGTTTCCAGAGTGTCGTTATTCAAGATCAAGCCCTTAGATGAGTTTGGAAAGTTCATTGTTATTTTGTATATACTGCTATTACATTATGTATGGTGTTCCACTTTTTATTTTGATTTTATCTTATTTTCTTCTGCATTCATGTAAGTACACAGTTTTTCGATAATAATAATAATATAAAGTACAATAAGTTTCGATAACTTATTCAAGATCAAGTCCCTCAGATGAGTTTGGAAAGTTTATTGTTATTTATATACTGCTATTAGCATTATGTATAGTGTTCCACTTTTGATTTTGATTTTATTTTATTTTCTTCTGCATTCATATAAGTACACAGTTTCTCGATAAAAATAATTATAATATAAAGTACAATACGCATTTTTCTGACAATGAATCATGAATAAGCAAATACATAATGTATAAATTGTTATTTTGAAAAACGAAATGATAAACTGTCATAAATACTAAATATTCTCAAACGTTATAAAACATTTTTTGTTTAATTGCGGAAGAAGGACTGTCATTGTAAGCAGATGCTCGATAATATGACAGCCCCAGACAAAACTCATCAAATAGATTAACACATTTATTAAGCAGAAACGGATAGGTAATTGAAAATACAAATTTTGATGATGGTGATATTGACAACTTTGCAGATGAGGATGATGATGATGATGATGATGATGATGATGACGACGATGATGATAATTATTCGAATGAAAGAAGAGATGACATTATGATAAAGACTGAAGAGTTGACACAAACATTTTACCTTGAATATTCTGATAATAACATCGTTGGCCTTAATAAAGGGAGCAACATGATTTAATAGGTTCTGGCAGCGAGAGTTCCATAGGTCAGGACCATGGTGTCAGTATGGGTCTATGGGCATAAGTAATAAATGATAAAACTTCGGAAAGACCAAAGTTTAAAATACAAAATACATGAATGTACAACATAAAATTGCAGATATTACTTTGGAATACATTCTAATTATCAACAACATTTGTGTTTAAATACTTTGGTATTAATTATAGTCATTTAAAAATATAGAAGACTTGCCATACTAATTGAGTAATAAGCCTTGAAAATAAAATCAACTTTAGAGTCGTACTGAGAATAAACCAGCTCGCTGATTTCACATTCTTATTCATATTGTCCAGAAACCTCGCGAGTCTTCTCAATAACATATCCCAAGTAGGCCATAAAAATATTCAAATGCGCATCTTCTTTTTATCTTCATACCTTTATATCTAATTGAAATCCAACTGCCACATACATCTGTGAATTTTGATGTACCGTCCCCCTCAGTGGCGTATAATGAGCAAAAACGTTTGGGGGGGGGGGGGCTGACAAAAAAATCCGCAGCACCCGCACTCTATAACATGCAGGCCCCGCTGAGCGTATCCAGGAATTTCTTACTGGCGGGGGGGGGGGGGGGGGCACAAAATGGCATGGGGCTAAATATTTGTAAAACGATGAAGTGACAGAACGAGGGATTAGCGGCGAGGGAGTGGAGCGACCAAGCGTGGGTGGGTCTGGGTAAGAAGCATTTGCAATTTTAGAACCAAATTAGACGCATTTTCAGGCACTTCCTGGAGTAATATGACGTAAAATTGCTTTCTCCTACCCCTTCCAAGAATCTTTTGCAATTTGAGAACCACATTTGGCGCATTAATGTCCACTGGCACTTCCTGAAAAAACGAGGCCCTATGATTGGTTAGAAGTTAGAGAAAAATGATCTGTCACGTCTTGAGACGTATGCTTTGACGCCGCACAGTTGATATTTTTTTTTACTAGTGTTATACTGTTAGTGGTCACGGTCCTTAGTGACTATAAAAAAAACATAGGCTCTTCCTGGTCATTTTGGGAATGTGTCAGTTTGCAACAGAAATGGAGAAACGCGCATTTTGTTGAAAATCATGTGATATATCACGAACATTATACATCACTTGTAATTGGAATTGAAAATAAGTCATGGTTCAATTTTATTGGGGGGTGGGGCTGGCGCCCCCAAGCCCCCCCCCCCCCCCACCAGTACGCCAGTGGTCCCCCTCTTTATTTTGTTCTTCTTTTTTTTTTCTCTCTCTCTCTCTCTCTCATTTCCCTTTTACCAATATTTTCACTCCGTATCCATTGAGGGTAGCCATGCTAACAAGCTTTGCTTACCTTGAACCCTCGATCCTGTTTGATGTTTTCGATTCGTTACAGCCAGCCTTACATTCTTTTGTCACTAAAATTTGCAATTTTAAATTTTTTTTTTTTTACATATTTGTAAAACTGCAAAGGAAAATGAAAATCAAACAGACATGAATAAATCAAATCAAATCAAATCAAATCAATAAAGCTTAAGAACCACAGAATAGTTTAATGAATATCACGAATATCAAAATGTTACCTTTGCATTTTTTCTTTCGAATCATATAAACATGATGAATTATAGTTTGGAATAAGTGATCAACTTACCTCACTTGTATAGGCCTGTAAGGCTACAAGCCCTGGTTGACTCATCCTTGTTAGTTGTTACTTCATTATAACAGACAACACCTTTCCATCTTTGAGGCAAGCGTAATGCGTGTTTTTGACCACCAAAAAGAAAAATAAAGAGAAAAAAGGAGGCCCAGAAGCTAAATTAGGCCCGACATGATTATTGTGGAAGGACGGTTTGTACGAATGTACACACGTGCTACGCATCCATGCTTGGATTTGCAATCCTCAAGTCCGTGGTTGTAGTTTCATCCACTATATTCTCGCGTGCTTAGTTTCGAAACTAACCACTCTTAGCTGTTGACGTCCTTTGATGGGGTTTATCCGGAAGTCTCACTGCACAGCTCAGCATACATTTATTTCAGCTAATTTTAAAGTTGTAAAATCCATCCAGACAGAGTTTTGGGGTAGCTTTTGCATCATGTCTCATCAGACTGGTATCAAACGTAAGTATATTTAAAGATTAGATACATTAATAACCGTAAGGTTAAATAATTTTACGCTGCGTAGTTGTAGTACTTGTAAGTTGTAGTTCACTGTTCCCGCTACCGGTACCATGCCATCACTGCACAGGGCCCAGTGGGCGAGGCCCGCTCTCGCGGTAGGCGTGATTCGGACTGCCTGCCTTCAAAGTCTACTGATGTGAGTTGTCGGTGCAAAGCGTCGGTGCAGTGGAGCTGGAGTGAGCGTGATCAGTGGACAGGAACTTTAATTTGGGTAGCTCTACGCTTATGGCTTAATTACTGATTATGCAGTAATGCACGGATATACTTTGCTGATGATAGTTGTTTGACATTGTCACTAGACTAGTCAATGTGAAAGTTGTTGTTGCTGTTGCCTGTTGTTTACAATTAACATGAACATGTAGGCTAGTGTAGGCCTATTACTTAATAAAACATAATAAACAATAGCAGATGTATAACATTAACTGCACATGATCTGATCAGTGATACAGTTCTGCCTGATCTTTTTAGTTTTATCAATTCAAGACTCTTGGCATTACACTTGGAAACAACAACAGGGGTGGCGGGCGCTGGTCTAAGAATGAGGATCTCCGCACAAACGACGAGGATGTCCTCGAACACGTGGACAATTTGCGTCCTAAAAAATTAGGATCATCCGTGATTTCTTTTTTTCTTTGGTGCTCTGCGGGTGTAAGGTTCCAATCCGCGTGCTGGCAATGTGAAAAAACGGGATTCCGCGTAATAAAATACCCCCACTTCACCGTCTACTTTTATGGGTTGTCTGTCTTTCCGAAAATTAATCGCTCATAACGTGTTTTTCGCATCGCCAACGCGCGAATCGGAAATAAGAATCGTCCGCGAAAAATGCGGACGATCCTTATTTTTGAGGACATGTCTGTCTGCGTTTACGAAGATGATTCTCGTTTATGCGGACGATCCTTATTCTCGGACCATGCAGCGCCCCTACTGTCAATAGTGTAGTAGTCTTGGAAAACGCTTGAAATCCAGACGTACTGAATGACCCGTTCAATCTGTATTTTTGAACGATGGTTCAATGGCCTTACTGGGGCACAGGCACAGGCTATACATCAATACCTGAATAGATATTACAGCAAATGGCATGATTAAACTTTAGATAAATAAGTCTTAACCTAAATAGGGCCACAGGTTCAAATGCCATCCCAGCTCGAGTTCTCAAGACTTGTGGCAATGTTGTGCTCAAGAAATAAAACCAGCCCAGAGCCCTCTTGCATAAAAGTCGAGTTGCGATTTGATGCAACTCGGATCAAACGTAAGTGCGCATTGCATAAAGATTTATGCAAGAGGGCCCTGCTGGCTTAACAATATTCAGATAATCACTAGAAATCGGTACCTGGCCCTGCATGAAGATTGTCCAATCTTTTTTGTTTATAATATAAGGCTCAAAACCTAGCAACTATATAGACCATGTAGACCAAGACCAGTTTCGCATTCTGTCTGTCACAAGATTATAGAAATGTCATATATACTGCACATTAATATATCTTTATTACGTCGCATTATGAATTCCTTAACTTATCATTTGACAACAGCATGGTTTTCCCTGTACATGTAACAACTCAAACAATACCCTATCAATTGTGAATTTGTGACTACCTAATGCTCTTGCTAAATCAATGGACAAACACTGAAAGTACTTTATTAAATACAGGTCTGATATAAATTATAATGTACTTTCATAAAGCCCTTGATGTAGCATATTTACCTCACCACATGCTCATGCTAAGACTTAACCATTATGGAACTAATTATCCAATAAAGAACTGGATCAAAGGCTTCATCACACAAGAAGCAGAGAGTTTACATAATTATGTGGTTCAAGAGGATTCAGACTCGATTAAAGTTCAATCCGGAGTATCGCAAAGCATGGTACTCTGCGCGCTGCTCTTTTTAGTGTACATGTACATCAACGATCTATCTGACGACATTTTCTCTACTGCTGGATAGTTTGCAGAGGACTGTGTATACAGAACTATTTTAACAGATACCAATGCTAACTTCATTGAATTGAACTCTTTGTACCCAGTTTTGTTTTCTTAGCTTTTTTGTTTTTTGAAATGTATAATAAGTTGGATAAACAAAAATAAAGAACATTTCTCAGCAAAATTCCAGAATTCTTTTCTGTAGATGTTTTCTTCAATATTCTGAAGGAAATATAGATCTACAGTGGAAACGTGTTATAACAAGGACATTGGGACTATCCAAATTCCCTTTTATGTATTGTATCTTGTTATATTAAGGTTTGATGTAACAATTTTCCTCTAAAAAAGGCATGAATAACCTTCTAGAGTACATCGTTTGTAGACAAATACATGACTGAACTTGAAGAACTTTGTGACATACTGATAAAGAACCTCAAAAATGAACATACTTTTCGTAGCCTCCGTACAGACTTACATCAGAGAATACAAATGTGATTCAATTCCTGTATGTTGACTATGCCTCTACAAAAGTAACAATTCTCTTCCTTTTTTCCTCCTTTAAAAAAAAAACTAACAGCTTCCCCTGAACTGGCTGAAATAATTGCAGTAGCCAAAGACATACAAGGAAGGACAAGAGCATTAAAGGTGATAATTGTCAATGGTGAGTATGAAACAAGGAAGAAATTTGTACAAGATGCATGTTATGGAAGGGCAATTCAGGACTGGTATTAGGGTCTAATGTGCCACAGATAATATAGAAGATATCCTCAGGTAAAATACATTTGATATGTCCATGTCCTGTCAATTGGACATAATTGAATGCATTGTTTTCATGTACACTGTTTGTTTATTTATTCAGTTATTACAGTTTCATCATATTAATCTAACAATCACCTGAATACTGAAATGGTGGTCCCAAATCCCGGTCCAGAATATGATGTTATGAATTTTGTATCCCCCATCCTGTGTTGCCCTATTGTGAAAAAAACTGCAGGGATACATACAAATGATAATAATTCTGTGCTTGTAAACCACACAAATCTGCATGCAAGAGGCACTCTTGGTGTAAAATGAAATTAGGATCAAATGTGTAAATTGCCTCAATTGATTTGTGCAATTCTCGTATGGTTTAGTCTGTTACACAGGTAGACAAAAGAAAGAGTTAAATGCTCACATTTAATTCTTCCTTTCTACTTTTCTTCTGTAATCAGTATATTGTAATTGTATATTCAAAGGGAATTCTGAAAATATTTGAGTACTCATGTACATGTATGCTGAGATCTTATCACCTGATTTTACCCTCTCAACCTTCTTCTCACAGAGCAATTGGAGCTAGCAGAGAAATGTGATGTCAGAGGCACATGGGAAGCTGATATCCTTTAACACAGTTTAGTACAAAGTCAATTTTTAAGTATGTGACATTGCCAATTAGTCAAGATGTTTACACAGCATTCTGTCATGATACAGCTATGCCAGTTTATCGATACAAATTCATAGTACTAGAATTATATATATCTTGATTATTTCATTATATTTTACCAAGGATGATTTAGCACTTTTTATTAAAGATGTTACCAATTAAAATCTTGTTACATTTTTTTGAAACATCCCATTATGTAAAAATTTGAAATACTAGAAAGTAGAAAGGAAAAAGCTGAATGTCTTTGGTATAGTCCTTGACCACAGGAATACATTTTGATGCCGTGATACAGCCACTGCTGGAAGAGAAGACACCCTCCTACATCCTGTACCGGACGGACAACCAAGATGATAAGGGATCATACAAGTGGATCTTCATCCCCTTCATCCCAGATAATAGTCCAGTAAGTGTCAAGAATGGTCTACAGTTTTTTAATTTTATATGTTTGATTACAATCAATAAAAACTACAACACTTACAGGTAATTATTTAATGATTACTGTGATAAGAATGAGGAAGGAAAAAAAAAATAATAAAAACTAAAAGTGGCAGTAAAGTTGTACAAAAAATTGAAGGTCTTAAAGCGGGACTTCATTACTTGTAGCTACTATAGAACCAACAATGCCTAAGCGGTACGGGTTGATCTCCCATGGTCCCCTTCCTCTTATGTTTAATAGTTGAGAGCTAATTTGATGAGATAACCACCTGTCAGTGACCACGCAGGGAAGTCTAATCCTGCCTGGCCAAACTAGTGCAGATAGACTTTAAACATATATAGGTTGCAATTAAGTATCTAAAACAATGTTAATTTGTGAGGTATGATAAACCGAGGCCGCTAAGAACGTTCCACTGACTGACACCAGCAAAAAGAGTAAATTAGAGCCCCCGGCTGCTGTTACCTTGACCAGGTGTCAAGGGTACGGCGGCCGGGAGAACCTCCATAGTTTGTCCTATATGCTCTCGTTTAAAACTTTAAAAACATCATATATGTAGGAGTATGCCCTCAACACTATTGAATATGTCTACCAGTTGTTCTATTGTTAAATTACTACTACAGTACTTCTACCGCTACTACTACTCCATCCACTCCTTCTTGGTTATTGAGTCTGACAGCAGAGACGCCAAGTTCAAAGATCAGCAATGCGTGATATTTTCATAAATCGGCGCGCAATCGCGCGAGCGAGGGTACACGTATAAGGTATAGCGTTTATTCTAAATCAAGAGCGCGCGTCGTGCGTGCGAGCCTTTTCACACCCTCAAATTGCGTGATTGCGTGATACTTGGTAGCTCTGTGACAGGTCGATTGTCCCTGGTGAGATGGGTCATAGTCAACCTTGATTCTTGGTCAGAAGTGTTTTTAGTCAACTTGTTTTCAAACGTTTTGTACAGAATTCATTATTTGGAATATGCCCTGGATTCTAGGGTTCTTAAGATGGCTCATACATCACCTCCCAACTTCTGACTTCATTAAATTATTCACAGTAGCTATCAAACCTTGTAAAGGAATCATTTACAGTCATACATTGATACAATGTTCAGAAGTATATTATTGTTTGCTTTGAATTCAGTCCCCATGTATGGACTATATCTATGGACATGTTTCACTTTGAATCAGCAAATTGCAGACATGATATAAATGTTGATGCCGAAGTAATGCAGCATTATTTCTCTTTTCTATTACCAGGTTCGTCAGAAAATGTTGTATGCTAGTACAAAAGCAACAATGAAGAGGTCTTTTGGAGGAACTAGTCATATAGATGAGGAACTTCCAGGCACAACAAAGGTAAGACCCCATTCCCTCACATTGAATTTTAAAAATAAAAATTCATTTCCCCAACTCTACTATTTGAACCTATTAAATATCAGTATACACAATATGAACAGGAACATCTGCAATTAACCTTTTAATTATTCAAGAGCTGTTGGTTTTAATTGTCTTATTCATAGAGCGAGTGTATATGCAATTATAACCAATAATTAAAGTCCTGGGACCAGTTTTACAAAGCTTTTTTTCAATGACAAATGACAAAATTCGGTGACAAATCTGCTGATAGCCAATCAGAAGCAAGGATTTCAGTAGCTTATAACAAAAACTGTCATTTGTCACTGATGACAAGTTTTGTGAAACGCCCCCAGAAAGTAGTATAGAAATGATCTCTTGAAGAAAAAAACAAACATATGATATGTTTTCACCAAATGATTCGAATTAACCAAGAGCTGTCTACTTCCCGTTCTTCAGAATGAGGTGTCCTTTGAAGGCTATAAAAAGCACCTGGAAATGAAGGCTGCTCCCGGTCCTCTGACGGAGGCAGAAGAGGAGGCTAAGCAGGTGATGGAAATGGAAACCAGATCAGATATTGGTGTGGACACCAAGAGTCAGACATTACCCGGTCTTGCCTTCCCTGTAGAGGAAGCTGCCATTCAGAGGATAAAGGAGGTCAGAGCGCTCAAAAACACCTATGTACAGCTGGTAGGTATCTTCAGCGTCATATAAGTGATCGTAAGAATTGATTGTCGTTTTAAAGGTACCATTTACTTACTCACTTACTTGGGTGTAGAGCCATACCATAGGGTGGAGAGGTATTGTTTGATTTTGTTAACATATGTTTAAAAAATCCGTCCAAGTGATTACAGGGAGCAAGGTCATAAAAGGTCTACTGCATCGTTGGTGACAGTGGTATGGAAATACTGTGAAATTACTCTGTATTCATGCCATCACCGATTTATGATGATATCCAGGATATTATTGTTTACTTGAGTGCTCTGACATATTCTCTGGTGGTAATTGCTTGGGTTTTATTTTGTGAAAGATGTAGCAATAGTTTAAGGGTTGCAATTCAGTTAGAGTTCAGTTAGGTATATTTGGTCAAGAGTTAACACTATGAACTCAGTCATTGTAGAATATTGATCGCAGAGCAATGTGTTGTACCATCATTTGTACCACTGCACACATAGAATTCCTATTGAAAATCAATGATGATCATTCCATTACAAAATGTTGACTATTTTTGTTATAATCTGACTACCTGTATATGAGATAATCTTATTATATGTTATGACACCAAAAGTTTTTTTATGATTTACTCCACAGTTGATCGATGCCAAAGAGGAGGTTATCAGGTTAGCAAACTGTGACCATACGAACGTGGATTCTTTGCCATCTAGAGTGCCTGATGATAGCCCGAGGTATCATCTCTTTGTTTTCCCGCACACGTATGAAGGAGATAATCTCAACAGCATAGGTAAGACGATTGCTTCATGGTTGGTGTTCATTTACTATCAGCAATAACAAAAACATCAACAGTGAGTAGGTTTTCATTCTGAAATGGCTGAATTCCTTGAAATCATACAAAAATCACCAATATTGGATGATTTAAGTATTTAAGGGAGTCAAAAGATGTGCATTTTCATTTTTGTTTTTGTTACCAAACCACTTGCCTACAATATTAGCGCAACTGTAAATCACATTGTGTGAAATCATAGAGGTGATAGATATTGTGATTCAATGGTGATCAGACCTCATTGACATTATTGAGGTAAAGAGAATAACAAAAGTGGGGGGGGGGGGGGGAGTTGGGGACGAGGTTTCAATATCATATCATGACATGTAATCTTGTACACAGAGATTGTCTTGATTGAAATCCAGAGGTACATTAGTGAGATATTTGATCTGGTTTTCTTTTGTGTTTGTCTTCCGATTACAGTGTTTATCTACACAATGCCTGGCTACAAGTGCCCTGTTAAAGAAAGGATGTTGTACTCGAGCTGTAAGGCTCCGTTCCTGTACAGCTTGGAGCAGATGGGTTTCGAGCTGGCAGCCAAGGTGAGTAATGAAGCGAATAGGAAGGGGACTGGGTGTGGAGCCTGCTCCTTACCGCCCCTTCCCAGCTGTGAAACCATCAAAAAATAACCCAGCACTAAACAGGGTTGAACCTGCTGCTGAATACATTAGAAGGATGTCTGATGACTTCTAATGGCACCTGGTTATATTGGATTTAAGCCACACTGTACCACTTGTAGCTACTTGCTCCCTCTATATAGAAAACAATGCCTAATCGGTGACTATCGGTCCCCCATGATCCTCTTTTTCTTATGTTAATTGAGAGCTGAGTTGATGAGATAACCACCTGTCCAGTGACCTTACAGGGTGGTCTAATTCCTCCTATAAAATAGTACAGATAAGCTTTACACTGTAATTGTTAACATTGTTGTGCCATAACCAGTCAAAGATTCTATAAAACTCAGAAAGGTAGCAAAATGGTTATGAATTTAACTCATTCGAATGAGAATGAAAAAACAAAGTTTGAATTCACAGTTAGTCTAATAAATTCATTGCCTATTGAAGTCCTGTACATTGTGTTACTTTCATGCAGATTGAGATTGGAGACCGCGATGAACTGACGGAAGAGTTTCTTATGAGTGAAGTGCATCCTATAAGAATGGTTCACAAGCCAAAGTTTAGCAAACCTCAGGGACCAGCAGGAAGGAGAGGTCAATCACGGGTCACCAATACTAACAAATGAATAAGTTATTGAAAGATGTTTTTATGCATTGAATACCGGTGTGTTTTGAGCTGAGGATGAGTATACCTATAAACTAGTACCTAGAAGTTAACCACAGTTCATTGTATCCGAAAACAATTCCAAAACAACGTCCATCTTCTGAAGAGAGTTTGAATCATGTCTAGAAATTATTGTTACTTCTCTTTATTCTAAGCCCACAGTGTAACTTATCTTTATTCTAAATCTACAATGAATCGTGGGATTTATATGTACATATTATTCTATTTCCTCATTTCACGTATGTTGTTCCTGTGAATGATTAAATTTACAGTGTATTTCATAATAGCAGTCACTGTATATTTCCTTCAGATATAAAAGGTCTTTTATCCCAGAATTTGCTTTTATTGCTATTTTATAGAGCAGTAGTAAGGTGAATAAGACCGAATGTTAGGCACTTTGGAGGTTTTGAAACCAAATTGTAGGTGTATACAGTATTAGAGATCAGGCTCATTTGTAATTCAATAATATAGTGTTGTATTGTTAATCTCCCATGTCAAGCAGTTGCAGTAGTGAAACTTAAGTACTGATGGCATATATTTCTCCCTTCATGCATCCATATTATAAGTTGATTAAATGATTCTTGTAATTGTAATTATCTGTAGTGTTGGACCAAAGACCGGTCCATTAGACAAAATGGTGATTAAGTTTTGAAAAGTACCGGTATGTGTGCAAAATGTAGTTGTATTGTTTATTGTTAATACAGAATATAATATAACTTTTAAATCATTTTAGCGAAACAGAATTGTGGCATATTGTAACAAGATTAATGTCTGTAGAAAAAAGGGGAGAACATAGCCAAAGCATACATTAACCTTGAAAAAGTAGAGAAAACTCACTGAAAAGTACAAAACTCTCAATCTCTCTCTCTTTGATATAAGATATAACCAAAGCATACATGCATCATCTTGAATAAAGTATAGTATTACTATTTCCTGTTTTTCTTCCAGGAAATAAAGAACAATGGGAATAAGTATTGTCATAACAATGCAAGAAAGAACAATGCTGTAATGCTTTGAACTTACACAAAGTATATGTATAACTTTTCTCAGTTGTGTCTTCTTATCAGTTTGAATTTCTTGCATGGAATCTTTTCTTTCATTTATATACATATACCATTAAAGGTATAGACCAGTTCTGGTCATGCGATTGCATTGTGAAAGAAACGTTGTGGAATCGACCAGAAAAGGTTGATCATCTAGCATATAACTTTTGGTGTGTACTGCAATGATAAGAAATTTGGCCTAGTCTTAGTAAAGTTACAAGCACTGTACACAAAAAGATGTATATGGGACTACCCTGTATCTATCCAGTCCAGATATATATAATAATTTACCAAATATATCAATTAGTAGGCGTTTTCCCAGCAAAATTTTTATCATTAAATATTAATCAAAACATATTCTTTCAGATGATTGGCAATAAGAGCTTCCATTTCATTTTTTGAAATGGAGGCGTTTCCAAAACTGGTCTTTACCTTTAATACCCAGCCTCAATCCTTAAAATACTTGTTACTGAACGGAGTAAGACCCCATGTGGTATACTTAATTTACCAAATATATCAATTAGTAGGCGTTTTCCCAGCAAAAATTTTTATCATTAAATATTAATAAAAACATATTCTTTCAGATGATTGGCAATAAGAGCTTCCATTTCATTTTTTGAAATGGAGGCGTTTCCAAAACTGGTCTTTACCTTTAATACCCAGCCTCAATCCTTAAAATACTTGTTACTGAACGGAGTAAGACCCCATGTGGTATACTTGTTTAACGTGTGAGATGAAGTTATAAGCAATGTAAATGTGTAATACCAAGATTGCCTTGGGATAGTATGGGATATCAGGTTAATAAAACTACTGATTTAATCGTTTTCTTATTCAAGAAAAGATGTAAAATAAATTTTATAGAATTTACAGAATTTTGTAGAACGTTGCTTTTAATTATTATTAAGCATGAATAAAGCACAGATAGTGAATTGTTGTCCATCTTCATTTATTTATTCACTCCTTTCTCTCACAATGTACCACAACAATTGCAAATAGATGATTTATTTTCATATGTACATGTACTTGTCTGGTATCGGCTTAATACGCCATGAGTTTATTCCTACTTTGTTCTGTCAAACAAGACCATGTTTTCTTCACAACAGAATGCCTTTACACTGAATCAGAATCTGTAACGTGGTATGACAGAAGTACATATTTTGATATCGTGTCTTTTTGTACTAGATAACCCTTTTCAAATATTTTTCCTTTTATCCTTGCTGATTGAAAACAAGAAAGACAAAGATTGAAACTGTTCTATTTCAATCCAAAATTTAATGAAATTCATGGCACAAACAGCACTGGAGAAGGCATGAATTATCTATCAGACGAAAATGCTTTCAATTTCAAAGTCCATACTATGTACATGAATTATATGCTATGAAGATGGAACAGATGTTGATGACGTTTGCTCTACTTGCTTCTTCTCTCGTAAGAGTTGCTCACTTCTCTGAATAGATTCTTCCATCATTTCTATCATTTGAGGAGTGACTGACATCCGAAGAGAACTAGAAAATGAAGAGAGAGAGAAAGAAAAAAAATTTAGTGTGAAAATATTATCACAAAGGAAGTGAGAAAAAGAAGGCCCAAAATGCATGGGTGTGTGTGAGGGTGAGTTGGTACCGATGACGTCCGTAAGAGCTATACCTTTACTTTGACGGCCACTCACAAAACCTGGACATTCTTGGTTCAAGGACCCTGCTTTAAAATTTGAGACCAATTCAATAGGGTACGCTTATTTTCTTCAGATGCTCCATTTGCATGTTAAAAGTTGATTATGCAGTAAATTTCCAGATTGTCCTCGGGATTTATTACATTCCTACAAATGTGTGTCCTCAAACATGTAATGACATAGACCTACTAAGATACACCAGAAAGCAGAAACCGTAAGCACATGTGTCTATTTTGATATTTTCGCAAAATTTAGTGGCATGTAAAACTATAACCTCTAACAGAGGATCGCACCTGGCAATCAGCGCCTTGTCCTTCCTCGATATAAGATCTTTCTAACCTGGCAGGCATGCATCAGATTGTATTGAAATATCCAGTACATACTTGCTCCATTTAGCTAGATCTAGGCTGGATGAAAGGTGATTGCCAGATGCAGTCCTTCCATATGAGCAACAGCTTCAGGCACTGCATTATTCTGCGTAATGACGAATTCTTAAAAGTATACATAACTCTGTAGTAAACCTGAAGTAATGACTTGTTGACTTACCGTTCTTGCAACCTCTCAGCCTGTAGTTCTGCTCTCATCCTTCTATGTTTTTCTATGAATGTCTCCCCCATCACATGCTGAAATCCAAGTAAAAGGGCGCCACATGGAATCCTGATCAAAAATATCAAACAAGTACAATCAGATGGGTAATCTTTGTTCATGCTGTGTATAATAAATGGATAACAGGGTTAATAGCCCATACGCCAAGAATCTTGCAACAAAATGGGTCTAAATGAGATCACATGACAGGATAGATGGCATATCTTGGTGGTTGTAATGAAAGTAAAAACTATCACATATGTGATGGTATTTTCCCCCCACTGATGGTACATGGTTTTGTGAAATATAGACTTGGGCTATTGTGATACAGGTCAGGTCAATGTGAAATGCCTATGTGCAACAACGCGCAAGCAGGCAACTGATGAGCACAAAGTTTCATTTCATCCTGTAGATTAATCAGTGTTAAAGCGACTGTGAAATTTCAAGCAAAGATATAGATTTGATAATTCAATTAACCTATTGTTGACGGGAACTGGGTGTTCCCTCTTTTAAGTCTATGGGAATGAGAAAATTCTGTAGTCAACGGGTCAAAATGTTATGACTTGTAGAGGTGAAATAAAACCAAGAGGGTTGGTGCAGAACTTACCCAAGCAAACCACCTACAAATGCACCACCAATCATACCTCGCAGACCAAGACTTATTCTGTACAGAGCTCCTGTGCTCACTACAAAATAAATCAAAAGCAAAAAGATTTGTTTATTCACACAAATATAGAACATTTGTTCATGTGGTGTCTTATATGTTTTAAGTTTGATCAAATAACAAACATTACATAAAGAATGCTATCTTTGATGCTTCTACAAAGGCTATCGACCCAGTATAATCATTAGGTGAACTGAGTTCTATGAAACAATGCCCATTTGCATTCAATTGTGGATCATAAAACAACTAATCTTGTTTCAGTTTCACAGCTATCAATAGATTCCATGTAAGTTCATGAAGTATTATAAATGGCCTTTGAAATAAAATGCACAATACTATACCACATGTACAAGTGATTCATGGCGGAAATCTTTAGCCATCATACAGATTTCTTTCCCTGAAATCAATTTTGTAGAACATTCATTGAGACATTGATTACAAAGAGGTGCAATGGCTCAGTGGTAGAGCAGAGTTCTCAAAACCGGGAGGTCCCAGGTTAGAAACTAAGTCAATACAGAAGTGCCCTTTAGTAAGGCATTAATCTTCATTACCAAGTCCCTCAGAGAGGACTCAAAGCTGTTGGTCCCGTTGCCTCTTACAAGCATACAAATGCTTTCTTGCATTAAGGCAAGACAAACAAACATATTATTCATCATAGGACCTTACCTCCTGCAACGGTGTAAGATATCATATCCTGCTTGTTCCTGTACACAGCAAGTGACATGCTTATACCACTGAGAAAAAAAAGAATGACATTACAAAATCAGTTACAACAAAACACCACTTCAGCTGGCAGAGAGGAATAGGTTAGGTTCTAGAGTAGTGTCAGGTACATTTGATTGAAATCATTTTATAAGAAATACTTATGGCTTGATTTAACCATCAAATAGGCCAGTGAAATTGATGAATTTGATAATCCTCGATAATATCAGTACTGGTATGTTTTTTTAAACCACTCAAGTACAAGTATATGAAGAGAATGAAATGATCTAATAGAATTAATTCATCAAGTTAAATTACACTTACCGGTAGATGTTTGCACACTATTTTTTTTTGGGGGGGGGAGGGGGGTGGTACTTAGGAGTACTATCTATGCATTACCTTTTGTACAACAATTATTCTTCAATCCTACTTGAAGCTCTTCGATCTGTGTATGCATCATATATTTTAATGTAACTGAGGCAGTGTACATACATGTAGATCTCCTATATTGGGCAAATAAACGCTTGCAGTACAGTAATGGTAATGTAACTTTGACTTTCCTCCCATAACTTCACTGAATTACATGACTAAATACAGCACCTAAAGAAATTCTAGCAGCATTTATTATGATCAGCGCTCAAAATACACGGGGGCGGTGGGCGATTCGCCCTCGTGAGCTACATAATCGCCCCCGTCAGGTTGCTCACGGGGGCGATTGCAAAATTAAAAATCGCCCCCGTGGAATTATAGAATAAAGATTATCTTTTCTGTTATAACTTTAACACAATATTTAGTTTCAATTTTCAAACCTTAAACCAATGAAACGGAACTTAGATTAGCGTGCAAGATTTCCCGTTCTATGAGTAGGCCTATTAATTATTACCGATTCAGCTTGCAGTGCAGTGCCGCCGTCAGCAGTGGTTATAGGCCTACTGCGCCGTTAGTAACGGTACGTGTGCACGCTGCCGCGCCATGTCTGCTGGAGCTGGAGGCGATCGCGCAAGGGCAGAAACATGGTCATGGAGAAGTTTTTCGTTGTGAAAGCGTAAACCTGCTAAAATCTGGTCATTTTAAATGACCAGCAAATAATGAACCACGACCAGTAAATCAATATAAGGAACTTTTAGATTTGCACGATGAGAACGTGGACTGCAACGTGTGACCTCCTTTCAAGGCACTGCCAGTGCTTAAAAGGACGTCACATGTGAGGGGGCTGGATAAATGCACATATATTTGTTTTGGGGGTCCAGTTTTTTGGGAACATTTTGGGCCGACTCAGCCGGCCGGTGAATATTAAAGTGGGGGGATGCTGGAGAGGAGGACTACTAATCTATTTTATTTTTTCAAGGGGGGGGGGGGAGTGAAGCGCCGTTTTAGCATGACTTTCTTTTTAACTCTTACTTTCACCTATCTCAGATAACCCTAAGTTTTTGGTTGCTGCTTTATGTAGTTGATAATGCATGTTAAAATAAAGAGAGAGAGAGAGAGAGAGAGAGAGAGGGAACCACTATCATTTTGCAATGGTTCAGGGTTTGTGTAATGTACATTTGAAACCATTTCTTAGCGTCTCAACCCTAAAAAAACAGCAAAACTATTTTTGAGGAAAATCATTATACTGAACTGAATAAAGAATAATAGCTTTATATTGGCTCATACTAATACTGATATGAGCTAAAGTATTTGTATAGAGGTATTCCAAAATGACATTCTGATAATCAATATTTTGTTCTGGTATCATATGTATATACACATAAAACAACTGATCTCTATGATTTCTTAACGTGACATAGCTTCTTCTCCCCCTGCAAACAAAAAAGAAAACAAGGTTATTTAATAAAAGGATCATACGACAAATAATCATTGTGATTCAAATTGTTGCAAGGATTTTTTTGAATAAGCAATGCTTTTCACCAGAATCTTCTTTGAAAAAACGACTTTTACAAATCACAGCCATGCAAATCTGCCACTGTGTTGTAAGATCACTTTCAGATTAGGAGAAATGTATTCTTTAATGAGTATTTTACATTGAATGGAATGTCTTAACTCAGTAAGCATGGCAGAGATTTGTAAAAGTTGTTTTTACAAAGAAGATTTTGGTGAATAGCAGTGCTTATTCAAACAAATATTCGCATGAATTTGAATCACAATCATTATTTGTTGCTTAATCCCTTTTAATGACCTTGTTTTCTTTCTTGTTTGAAAGGGGAGAAGAAGATAGGCCACGTTAAAGACATCATAAAGATCAGTGTTGTATACGTATATATTATATACACAGGCCCCGCGGAACGTTTATCAAAATGGGGGTCTAAAGTATTTACGATCAGGTAGAGGGTAGCGAGCGTAAATTGGTGGGGGGGGGGGGGGTTCGGAGGTTTTAGGCATTTAATTACGGTCAGAGAAGCACAAATATTTTGATGCCCCATTTGTGTCACTGGCAGGTCAGGAGGGGGGGGGGGTTCTCTATTTTATTTCTTAAGGTAAAATGTACGTTACTATCCTATTTTTTACCGGTTTGTGAGGCTAGGGGGGGGGGGGGGCGGGCTGGTAGAATCAGCCCGTGGATCCGCGCCTGTCCAAAATAGCACACACACAAATCGCCTCGCCGCTACCGGCTCAGTAAAGAAAGAATGTAAAGGTTGCTCTGAATAATGAGGAGGAAATAATGTGCAGAACAGGAAAAAATCGAGAGAATGTCATCAGGGGATGAAAGTCAGTAACAGCTATGTAGCTTGTATGGATATTTGTATAACCAAGAGCCCCCGTCAGTACTAAAAGGGCCCCTGTGAAAAGGCTCACGGGGGCTCTTTTTTGGGGGGATGAGCCCCCGTGGACAAAAAATTAATTTGAGCCCTGATTATGATATTAATAAAAACCATCTTCCTTTCGTTCTTTAAAGGTACTATGTCCCATTTGCAAGCCAATAAAATGAAAAAGTTAAATTCCAACTGCATTTGAAAGATAATACTAATTTAGAACTTCCCTGAAAAAGGTGGGGCTTGAAAATGTCTTCAAGTGGGAAAATAACGACTATTAGTTGTCAAATCGACTTTAGGGCTATAGAGCCCAAAAGTAATAGTCTTGATTTTCAGACAATTGTACCGAATGGTCTTACGTTTTATGCTGCACAAAGATTCAATCAGTTAAATCTTGGCCATCACAAGAAGTGGGTTTTTGATGTGGACAAATGCTCATGTACCCTTTACAACTCTTTTCATGTATGTTATTACCAAAGAAGAAAAAAAGCCAGTCAGTCACTCAATAGTGTCTGACAGTGAAGTCTAGCAAGTAAATGGGTTTCCTTGCATACTTTGAAATATGAGGACACTGCTAACGTTTAAATTTCACAGATAGGACATACATGACATATTCATAATTCCTGCAAAGTTCTACAGAATTTGAGGTTGGCTGCAAAAGGGACATAGTATCTTTAAGAGGAGCAAAGTGGACAAATGTTGAACAAAGAGTAGCTCATTATTCTAAAAGTGTGATTGTCCAAATATAAGTTTTTGGGAGAGTTTAAACACAACGAATGTAAAAAGTCGATACTTCAAAAAATCCCTGAGGAGTTCTTATTTAAACTTTCTTCAAGAACACTCACTGATAGCTTCCAGCCAAGACAGCCGTTCTCCATCCCCATCTGTATCCATAGCGGATCATCCCACGGGATGCAGCATTATAAGAGGATCCCTGGTATTAAAATGAGAGATAGAAGCCAGGATGATCTCTTTAAATTCCTTACCACAATCACTGACTTAATCAGACAAGAATAGTTTTATCAAACAATTTAAAACAAACAACCAAAACAATTGGCCATCATTTACAGTAGGCACAGCACTTCTGTGAGGGGAAATCACATCATTCAAAATAGTTTCTGCAGAACTGTCTAAAATGCCCATGCAAGATTTGTTACTATAGTAGCCCCTGGTTGCAGAAACTTGCAGTAGCTGTTGATTGTATGTGATCTATGAATTTAAATTGACACAGTAACCTTTTTCTTCCTTATACATAATATGATGTCCTAAGAATAACATTGAGAACAAAATCTGGACTCCCAATTGTGCCACACCAAATAAGATTCAGAATGTACAGATAGATATAGCCTAGATCCTAAAGAATGTCATATCACATCAATATAAGTACTCACTGTAGCTTCTAACTTGCTGCTGTACAAGGATGCTTGACTGTTCTGGATGTATCTCTGCCTGGCAAACCTTGAAGCTGGAAAGCCACCATATGCAAACCCCAACATACCACCTAGAAGAAACATCATGATCACTTCATATAGTTCACGAGACAAGCCATCCTCGTTACTGTGTAAGAAAAGAACAGAAAACCAATCACATTTGTTATCAAATACAAAGTTGAGAATAGAATATTGGATCATTTGGATAAAAGTGAAAGTTATATTTTATATTATTTACATGTTTAAAACATCTTCATGTAAATGGGGAATATTCCAATACTGAAGGAGCTAATTTCCTACGAATATGGACAAATTTAAAGTATTTCAAGTGCAAGATAATTAATGGAATGTGTCAATTACGTGTAAAATTTAGACAATCCGACTTTGATTTACAATGTTTAAAAATAAGTATTCTTCAGTTTAGTCAACAATTTGACAAACCCCATTATTGTACACTGCTCTAAAATCTAAATGTTATAGTAAAACATATTTCTTGTACACACAGGTGTTCAAATAAATATGTTAATAATTAGAAAAAAGAAAATTCAAGAATCTAAAGACTGCATACTAACTTGACAAAGTATGCCTCCTTCAGTCTGAGCCATCCACTACCGGGATCTGCATCTTCTGTTACCATGGTGACAGAACTATCTGCATCACCTTCCGCCAAAGAACTGTGTCCGACCCCATCTTTGGTATTGTCCACACTCTGTACTGAAGAAGCATGTACGGTAGGCAAGAGTGCTATTCTACTAATGGCCACTTTGTGCAGACAATGTTCCAATCTGCCAAACAGAGTTTGTCTTGATGGCACACTGCATTTTAAGTCTTGATATCCTCCCGGTGTTACTCGTAAAATGTCACCTTTCCCATTGCTTGCAGCGTGACAGCTCTTTGGATGTTGTTGAATGCCTGCCATCGATTCTCCTGACTTGGAAGCGTCGACCATATCATGGGATGGACATGGCATGTTTGCTTTGTTGGATGATGCTTGGCAATTCAGTTACTTGGTGTGAAGATGCATGTCAACAAGAATACCTGTAAATGCAGTTTGAGAAGAATACAGATTCAAATATACAATCAAATATAGATTTATATCATGACATGGTACATCAGAGGAGTGTCCACTTGCTACAGATTATTGTGTAGCAGTAGTAAATGTTTATTCAACATCTGACCTGCAAGTGTCCAGGCCATAGCCTAGCTGGGCAGCATTTCACAAAAGTAAAAACCAGAGTACATACATAATGTACATTATGTCCTGAGTCTGGACAAGTTGGTTATTCAGAGTTTTGAATTTAAACAGTAATATTAAGATATTTACATGCAATATTTCCCAACTCTTTTAAGAATTGACAGATAGTTTCATATAGATGAATATTCATCATGGTTAATGCTATTTGAAACAGCTTTATTTTTGTTATGCACCTGGACACACAACTCACCCCGCCCCCTCCCTTGATCATACTATAGAGCATAAAGTCTGTAACTTAAAGAAAAGTTTGTGGAAATCATGAATTTTCAGGAGAGCGAAAAAACATTTCCTGTCTCAACAGACTTAGTGCTGTGACACCGTCCTTTGTATGGAATTTGTGAAAAAACCGAGACAGGAGGCGTTCCATGGATTTATCAGGTGATGTCGTAGGCCATTAGGTACACAATTATGCAAAAAAAATCAAAATCTCAAAAAATTGAGATACAAGGTTTTGTCACCCTCACCGACGATATGTGTTTCAATGGTATTCAAATCACGTTTCAATGATGACAGTTTCAGGAAATGCTGCTGCCCTAAAAATGCACATTCAGAGCTGAGTTAGACAGAAAGCTTGATATACCACGCTTGTTCCACTGAGACTAGTATACGTTTGAATTGCTCCAATGACCGCCTCTGAAGTGCGTCATGTACAACGTATACGTAATGAGGGGAGGACATACGTTACATCGATAGTACAAGTGTGAGTGCTGCCGGGGGGGGGGGGGGGGGGGGGTAATCAAACATAAAGACATACGAGGGTCGCTCTGTCGCCCTGTGTTTAACTATAGTTTGTACTGTAGCACAGTGTAATTTAACCTTTCTACTGCCTACTGCACTGGATATGATTTGTATTTTGTACAGAAAACACTCAACTTCATTCAAGAAATCAAGTCTCACTCTCATGTCACACTCATCATCAGATCATACTCATTCATACTCATAGTCATAATCATACTCATGATAGTCATACTCATACTACTAGTACTAGATTTAGATCTCTCATATCTCACCCTCACCCCCCTTCAGTTTTCCCTATTAATTATATTATCATATTTTAGGCTTAGAATCTAGATCTCTCTCTCTCACTCTCAGTCTCAGTCTCACGCTCTGAACACACAAAATCATGAATTTATCTAATCTAGATTTCTAGATTAGAAGGCACCACTGAGCATGCTGAGCTACTTCTACTTGAGTCTTGATCATGTTGATACTTCTTTACAGCGTAGCATTTAAAAGTGAAATATATTTACCAAATATCCGTTATGTGCAGTTCAAAACTCAGGTCTATGGTTTTAATAAGCAAGAACATGAGAACTTCTAGGGTCTATGCATGCAAATACATGCATGTATGTTGTACGTATTTTGATCTAGTAATAGTCTACTATCTAGTCGTTAGAGCGCTTAACTGTGTCTCAACATTTACACATATGCGGATTTTCCTAATAGATGAATGCATGGGTCAAGATATATGCCTGCCACTTCAAACTTAATGGTATTTTTTAAACATTTTCTAGCACTTAGTATATTTATTTATTGTTTTTTTGTTTGTACGACTAGCTACTAAAGCACAAAACGTCAGCATCGAGACTAGTAGTGGATCACTGTGAAACGATGTGCAAATGCAAGAGCCTAGATTTATGATTTCATTGTTTTTGACGAAAGTTTATGAACCACTTGACATTATTATTTTACAAGGGACTAAAGTAAAGGTCACATGCTCTATCTATCTCCTATGAGTAATTTTCGATGTCATGTGATCTGGCAATGTCAACTTTTCAGCAGGAGACGTCGCACCTGTCAGACGAGTACCACCACCAGTACAATAACATGTTGCAAGCCGAGAGTTCGGGCGAGAGTAACCTTCAGCATCCCGATGGAAACAGTGGGAGAAAGGTCTCTCACGAAATGCAGAAGCCCGACCCGCCCGCGGCGGCGGCCGCGCCCCCTCCACTGCGACCTTTAGTGAAAGTACTGGCATGCTTTGCAGCCATTGGAGGCTTTCTTTTTGGGTATGACACAGGGGTTGTATCAGGAGCTATGATTCTTTTGAAAAAAGAATTTGGTTTGAACACAATATGGCAAGAAATGATTGTGAGTGTGACGATTGGAGCTGCTGCATTATCTGCTCTCTTTGGAGGAATATTTAATGAAAAATTAGGCAGACGAAAAGTGATTTTGATTGCCAGTACTGTCTTTACTGCCGGAGCGCTTATGATGGGACTTACACCAAATAAGGAGCTGCTTCTGGCTGGCAGGCTTGTCGTTGGTATTGGTGTAGGTATGATCGAACTATGATTGACACAATTAAAATAAATCAAATTGAAGCCAGGAGGAAAAGCAAAACAACAATCAAAGAAACACTAAATGAGTTCATGTAGATCTGTATGATTTGTATGCATAGAAGTTAATGATATGATAATAATTGAAATATGATTATTTATTAACAATTGTAATAACAACAACAGTAATAATAATGATTAATAATAACAATAAATAGTAACAATAATAATGATTGTCACAAAAGGATGTCTTCCCATTATGTATGATGGAATGATTATATCAAACATTGATAATAATTGCTGAATGTTACTTATTTTTGTTTCTTATTATTATTTACATGTACATCACAAGGTCTGGCATCAATGACAGTTCCAATGTACATTGCTGAAGTAGCCCCAGTCCACGCAAGAGGGAGATTGGTTACCCTTAATAATCTCTTCATCACCGGAGGTCAGTTTGTAGCTTCTGTGGTAGATGGAGCTTTCTCTTACTGGCCATGGGGATGGAGGTGAGTAGATATATAACTAAACTAATACAGTCTAAAGAGATAAAGATCACCAGCAGCAGTTTTACATGCTTGAGAGAATATTGGTAATGCTCTTTTCCAAACAATTTATTCAGAGTGACATCTTGAGAGTAATTGGATTCTACAGACATGTTATAATAAATAAATAATAAATAAAGTCATTTTTTATATAGCACATAATAATAAATTCTCTACACGCCTTACAATACAACAATCAATTATACAATATATTACATGATTAATCTAAAGATTTAAATATGCATGAATATCAGAAATACATATTGTATACAATGATGAAAACATCTGATATAAATGGTATAAACTTACAGACATATAAACTTATGAACACAATTATAATAGTTAAGTAATTAATGACTATCTTTTATTGTAGTAAGGAAATAAAATTTATTTGACATAAACTAATTAACAGACTATTTGATGAACATAAATGTCTTCAGAAGTGAACCTTCAGAACTTCAGAAATGTTGGAACAATCAGTAAGATGAAAGTCAGTCCAGGACAAAAGATCAAGGATATTTCAAAGAACAGATAATTAGATAATGTCAAAACCCACTATGGGAACAATTTGCTAAATAAATTATGTACAAGTCACAGTTCATATACTACTGTCTATAGAGAATCATAATGGTCCTACTATCTTTCTTTTAATTGCGTTGATAACATCTATTAATCGTATTGTTATCCTTAACAGTTGAAAGTAAAAATAAAAATAATTAAAAAACACTTTATTTGTTTTATTTCAGGGCAATGTTAGGTTTGGCTGGAGTACCATCTGCGATTCAATTAATCGGTTTCATCTTTCTTCCTGAGTCTCCTCGTTGGTTGATTGATCATGGGCAGCTTGAAAAGGCTAAGATGGTACTCATCAGGACAAGTGGCATGGAACATTGGGAAGATCAGTATCAACAAATAGTCCAAGATGCAGAGAATACAAAAAGAGATTATGGTAAATGATTTTGATATACATGTACATGTACATGTACCGGTACTATATTTCTTCAGAATGTAGGAAAAGAATGATAACAGATACAGTAACAAACACAAAAATTGAAAATTAAAAATAATAATGATAGAGTAGAATTATATTGTACTTTTTCCCCCAAATGCATTTAATCAAATTTAAGCTCATTAATTGAAAATCTTCATGTTATATACCTGTGAAATCTGTCAACTATCGATATAATGCAAATCGAATATCGGTTATATGTTTTTGTTTAACGTGTACCTGTACAGGGGATGGTTCAATCTTTGTAAGGATTTTCAGGACACCTCCTGTGCTGAGAGCCCTTTTTGTAGGGTGTGGTCTTCAAATGTTCCAGCAGCTAGCCGGTATCAATACCATTATGTAAGTATGATATGGTCTGCAGATGGCCAACAACTAGGGTGTACTGTATGTGAGTGGAAAGCATTTTGTTGTAGAGTGTGGTCTTCAAATGTCCGAGGACTTGGTTGTTTTGTATGTGGGTGGAAGAGCCCTTATTGTAGGGTGTGGTCTTCAAATGTCTATGGGCTTGGTTGTATTGTGTGTGCCCTAATTTTAGGGTGTGGTCTTCAAATTTCCCTAAGCTTGGGTGTACTGTTTGTGAGTGGAAGAGGCCTGATTGTATTTATAATAATATCCAAACATTTATATAGTGCTGGTATACACATACAATTTCTAAGTGCTTTACAAAACAAATAAATATCACATTTAATTTTAATATGTAATTAACATCAACAAGAAACGTGAAATTAACATTTTGCTTAATTTGGACGAAACAAAATGCTCTTACTTAACTAACAGTGTATTAACAGTAACATGATAATACAAATGAAAATACAATAAGTAGAAATAAAACTTCAAGAATTATGTACTTTGGATAATGAATAAATTACAAGAAGATATGTAGTTATAAATTGTGAAGATGGGGAATTACTTTGTGTTGAATAGGCATGTCTTAAATTTGCGTTTAGTGTCAAAGAGTTGGGGATTCATGAACAGAGATGGGGAGATTATTCTAGAGTTTAGGAGCACATATATACAGAGAAGACACAATCACCATAGTGGTGTGAGTTCGAGGACCAGATGATAGTTGGAGATGAGCAAATGATGATGAGCGGAGCCTGATGGAGGAGGTTTGCAACTTTGGTGAAATGAGTTCATTGATGTATGCTGGATTAAGTCTTTTACGAGCCTTGCACATGTAGGTGAGAAGCGGTACCTTGAATTGGATGCCCTGTGCAATGGGGAGCCAGCGAAGAGAACAAAGAATATGTGTTTGTTCTTTCTTGGTGCGTTTGAGGAGACGGGCTGCAGTGTTCTGGATGTGTTGGAGTTTGGTCAGATGTGAGCTGGGTAGATTTAGTAACAGGCTATTACAGTAATCAATGTGCGATGTCACGAATGCATTTTATACTAGGCGCTCAGTAGAACTTTGGTCTAAGTACTTTCGGAGTTTCCTGAACCTGTGCATTCCAAATGAAGCGGATCTACATGATTTATGAACATGTTGCTTCATGGTTAGTGTTATCCACTGCGACTCCAAGACTACTAGAAGATTTTGATGGAGTGATTGTAGTGCAGTCGACTTCAAAATCTGGCAGATCACTGGCTTTCGAGTCACATGCATGAGTTCTGTCTTAGCACCATTTAGCATGAGGTTGTTGTCACGAGCCCAGACTTTCACATCTTCAAATGCACTGCTCCAGTCTCACCACCCCACTGGCAATTTCACTCTGCTTCAGTATAAGATACAGTGTGTCGGCGGCATTCATCATGTGTTCAACACCCTGATGGGACCTTATGATGCATGTGAGTGAAAGAGCCCTTATTGTAGGGTGTGGTCTTCAAATGTCCAGAGGCTTGGGTGTACTGTATGTCAGTGGAAGAGCCCTAATTGTAGGGTGTAGTCTTCAAATGTCCTGCTTTGTTGTCTTGTATAGTTGTATACAGAGTGGAAGAGCCCTTATTGTTGAATGTGGTCCTTAGATGATTCAGCAGCAAGCGGGTAACAATACAATGGGAAAGATATACAGTACATGTCACAGACTATGACATTGGGTGTGGTCTTCAGATGTTCATCTGCAATGGGTATCTGATGTAAATAAGATGTGGGAGTTCATCAGTTACACTTGTGACTGGTATACGTGTAAAAGTTGCAATCATGAAACAAATGCTCCAAATTATGTTAGTCTTGATTTTAATTATCCATTTACTATACCAGTAAAAATTTACTAATAATCTCCAAAATAGATTTCAAGCAAATTCAGAATGAAGAGTTACGGTATTCATTGTAGGAGTAAAAAACAATGGATCTTGTGGCAGAGTGGCCTTGTAGTCAAGCAAATAATCCAATGAAGTCTACTTCAATAACTACTGCTACTCAGAAACAATAATAACAACAAGAAGACCATTTTCATTACTATAGTTTAACCCATTTAATACCGGTATTACCAGTAAGCATGACATAACTCTGGGATTGCTCTATATATGTATGTGTTTACCCAAACCAT